AGACATCTCAACTTCTGGCTGGAAGTTACAGCCCTGCCAGCAACAGTGCTTGCCAAATCCGGGCAGCATGGAGGTGACTCTGGGCACAAGCCTCGCCCTTCCCTGGATAGCCCCAGTTGTGGTGGGCTTGATCAGCAAAGGCGCGTCCCCACCCCCCTCTCCGTCTGCAAGCACCTGCATGCAGTACGTTAGTGGTATGGTGTGGGTGGGGGTCTTTCTTCCCCCTATACCTTGGATCAGTCTTCCCCCACTGGGTCCTAGCGCCAGGACGTGGCTTTCCCTTGCAGCCGACTTAAGCAGAACGGCCAAGGTACAGCTTTTAATATGTTAATACATGTTTAAAGTTATTGAAACCACAAGAAGGACTTTGGTAAAGGTTTTTGTGTTGACTGAAAAATGAAAGAAAAGGTAGGAGACTAAAATAATAAAGAGGGAAAAGGAAAAGAGAAATTTGTCTAAACTAAGAATGTCTAAGGGAATCAGAGAAAAAGACTGAAGGTGTATATAATGTTGTAGGGCAGAGGAGGATGTGAACTATTTGCTGTGGCTTCTCATGCCTGCAAAGACTGAATATAAAAAAATTGGTAATATACGTTACAATTTTGACCATATTAAGTCAATTCTGGTTAAGAAGTTTTGTTTATTTTAAATGCCCTTCTCTGATAGTGAGATTGACGACTACCTTATATGCCATCCTAGAGTGTTCATCCAGTACCTGATGGAAGCAGAAGCAGAGACCCACAGATGAACAATGAACTGAACTCTGGAACCCACTTGCAGAGAGGGAGGAGTGATGAGCAAAGGGGTCAAGACCAAGCTGGAGAAACCCACAGAAGCAGCTGACCTGAACAAGGGGGAGCTCAAGGACCCCAGACCGATAGCTGGGAAACCAGCATAGGATTGTTCCAGACCCCCTGAATGAGGATGTCAGTTTGGAGGTCTGGTTAATCTGTGTGGCCTCTGGTAGTGGATCAGTATTCATCCCTAGTACATGTATGGACTTTGGGAGCCCACTCCACATAGAGGGATACTCTCTCAGCCTAGACACATGGGGGAGGGTCTAGGCCCTGCTCCAAATGATATGACAGACTTTGAAGATCCCCCATGGAAAGCCTCACCCTCCCTGGGGAGCAGAAAGGGGATGGGATAGGAGGCCAGTAGGGGGCAGGGGAGGAGGGGAGGGAAAGGGAACTGGGAATGACATGTAATACAAGCTTCTTTCTAATTTAAATTTTAAAAAGGGAAAAAAAGAATCAGAAATATAAAAAAGTTTTATCTCTCAAAAGAAAATTGTGTATGCTTGTTTTGTTAGAAAGTTCTATCTGTGTTTTCTGGTGTAATCATAAGTTTTGTTGCAAGCATGAGCTAAAACAGAAATGGTGTGGGTTGCTGCCTTTTTTATCCAGCTACATGACTAGTAGCCATTTTTCTGGAGTTGAAAAAGATACTTCAACTGCCATCTTAATGTCTTGATTGAGGGTGACCACATGGAGGGGGCCTAGTTAGGAGGTAACAACAGATCTCCAAGGGAGTTTAGATTAAGATAGATTTTTTCATGTACCATCCTAAAAACAAGGTTTTTATTTTATTTATTTATTTATTTATTTATTTATTTATTTATTTATTTATTTGGTTTTTCGAGACAGGGTTTCTCTGTGGCTTTTGGAGGCTGTCCTGGAACTCGCTTGGTAGTCCAGGCTGGTCTCGAACTCACAGAGATCCGCCTGCCTCTGCCTCCCGAGTGCTGGGATTAAAGGCGTGCGCCACCAACGCCCGGCAAGGTTTTTATTTTTAAAAAATTAGAATTTAAAATGTTAATGCTACACCTCAGTGCTTTTATACACAAGAATGCTAAACTTTGTAATTTAACAGTAACCCAGGTGATAATGGTTTTAAAGGCATAAGGGGTATTTTATTTTTGATATTTCAGGAAGACATTGAAAGATTTTTAAATTTTGTTTTGTTTTGTTTCTGAGACAGGGTTTCTCTGCAGCTTTGGAGTCTGTTCTGTAACTAGTTCTTGTAGACCAGGCTGGTCTCAAACTCACAGAGATCCACCTGCCTCTGCTTCCCAAGTGCTGGGATTAAAGGCATGTGCCACCACAGCCTGGTGAGATTTTTAATTTTTTTAAGAACAGTTTTTAAAATATTTAAATTCATAAGGCTATGGGATATTCGTGCTTATAAAATCTTTATATTGTTAATATTTGTACTTAAATTAAAAAGCTAAATTTATAAAAACCATATACTAAACAGAAATTGGGATGTTTATTTCTTGTGATGTAGTAAGGCAATGACCTAAGTCTTAAAAAGGGCTTGGAATAGCTTCTAAGACCATGGATCTCAGTCCTTTGGGGGTTGAAAAAAATTTTGCTATTAAGGATAGCCTAGGACCACCTGCATGTCAAATGTTTACATTGATAACAACAGGAAAATATTGTAATATGAGATCACCACAACATAGGAAACTCCTTTAAAAGGTCAAAGCGCTAAAAGAGTTAAAAACCAGTAACTTAAAAGGCCCTTCCCTTACTCAAGGTCTATTCAGACTTAAGAATGTATGTCCAGCCTCCTCGTCTTTTGTTAAGCTTAAGCTATTTAGATAAACTGAGTCATATAGATGTTTCATGTTTCCCTAAAAAGAGCTTCAATTCAAAATAATTATTTTTAAAGTTAAACCTGACAGTGTAAAATCCTAGTTTTATAAAAGCTGCTAATCTATTGTATTGTAAGATGTTAATAAATACAAGTTACTAGCCATCCTTTTAAATGATCAAGTGTGTTAATTGTAGTCATGCTAAGTACTGATATGATTAATTACAGGGGTAAACCTTACTTAGTCCCCTGTATATGTTTTTTGTTTTTTTGGTTTTTCGAGACAGGGTTTCTCTGTATTGTTTTGGAGACTGTCCTGGAACTCACTCGGTAGACCAGGCTGGCCTCGAACTACAGAGATCCGCCTGCCTCTGCCTCCCAAGTGCTGGGATTAAAGGCGTGTGCCACCAACGCCCGGCCATGTTTTTTAAAAATTAAACTTAAAGCAAGTAACTAAAAGCAAAGTTGCCTATTCGGATTTACCTAGGAAACCCTCTTAATACTTTAGAGATCTGCAGAATATAGCATTTAAAATGTTGATTAAAAAGTCTTATAACATCAGAGACTCCCAGATCCTGACAGTGACGTAAAGTCTCCAAAGAAGATTACAGGGCACCATGATGTCTGCACCTGGAGTATGATGACGCTGACCAGTGAGCGAGATGCTCAAATGCAACACCTGCTGCCAGGACCCAGCTCAGACTGTGGACAAGCTGCAGGACACTGGAGAATTGGTTGCACCACTTTTGCCTAGACAAAACAAGGTCAGTCTTTTCCATGTTCCTCTTCCACAGAGAGGAAAGCACTCTCACCTTATGGGCCTGGAGAAGATTGACTTCTGTCTCTAACACTATGGAGACTTGGGTATGGCTAACTGTATATGAACTGGTTTCTGTCATTTTTAATAGATTTGGAAGTTTCACAGAATTTATCCTTCTCAGATCTCCGATAGTATTGATGGTTAGGCTAGCTATAACTTTGTCAGCTTGACAGCGTCAGGCAGCCAAATCCTTCCACAAGCTATAGCCAGTTTGGTAGCTCATTTTATAAATGTTAAAATCAAGCCTTGATACGGCTCCTAAATAAGGATCTGAGAATGTAAGCGCATGAAGGTTTTAAGGGTATAAAAATGATTTAAGATAATTTAAGTTATATAAATTATTTTAGATTGTTTCCCCTTCTATGATGTGAAAGTTCAGAATTTAACCTTTAATAGAGTTCTGATAAGCTGGTAGAGCAGTGACTACCTGCTGTTCAGTCACAAGATCAAGGTTTTAGATTTATTTTGGTTGTCATCTAAGTATAAACTTAAAGGCGTCTCTGTCCAATCTATACCTGTATTCTTGCTGGACAGAAGAAAATTGTACATGCTTCTAACCCAAAGCTGTAGTTTTTGCTAGGACTCAAAGGTACAAGTCTATTCCTGCTGTTTTACAGATATCTACTTTTTCTATAATATGGATTTTGGTACAGAATGGTAATGCTAATATAGCTAAAGCTTTTATGTCCTTTTGTATAATAAAGTTCATGTAGGCTTCAGAGGATCAAAAATCATAAAGTTTGGATCCACTTCTTACAGGTCAAAAGGATTCCAGATAAGTACAGCTTTTGTTATCCCACCTGTCTGTTCCTGAGGATGGGATTTTCTCTCTCCTGGTCTTGGGACTCCTGCCCGTCCTGATTACTGAGACTATGGACCTAAAAGTTCCGATTAAGTACATAGATTTTAACTTCTATTCCTAGTTTGCACGTATCTCAACAGGTTTCCACTTCTGCCAAACACATCCAAGCATCAGTTGCTGACAAGAACCTGCTCCTAAAGACTGTGAGCTGTTGATGTGAACCAGTCCAGCCGATGTGAACACTCCCTGTCTCTTCAACAGAGTCTGCGAGCCAGATGCGTCTGAAAAGTACCCCATAGCCTGAATTCCCTCTTTGCTTTTGACTAGCATTTTAGCATGCTTGGACCCCTGACGACAATGCCCCTATGTCAGCAGGAAGTAGCCATAGAAAAGAATACGTCGCCCCTTTTCCCTGGTTGAACTGCTAAGTCAAAAGGAAACTCCCTTACATAGGGGACACAATGACAATAGATACAAATGTCACTCCCCTAGAAAAATCTAACAGCTAATGACTCTTAGGGCCCGTTACCACCCCTTTGAGTCCCTAGTAGGCAAGACTCATGATTGGGCCCTGTCACTGGTACTTCTAGAAGGGGGGAATGAAGGGACTAGACCCTCACTCAGCTCCCTGCTTTAGTAGCCATGACAGGCTGCAGCAAAGACCCAGCAAGATGCAGGCCTCTGACTCAGCAACAGGTGCTGAGCTTCCTGACCTTGCCCAGCCTCCTAGTCACTAGGAGGTCAGATACCCTCCATGTGGCAAGGAACCAATCAGAAGCTAGCTGGCGGGTTCTGCATGGGCTTTATAGGATCTGGATGTGCGTTATGGTAACAGTGGCTTATAAAGCATAGCATCCGCTCTGGGAGGGCCTATAGGCCATAGCAACCAGTTGACCAATCAACACAGGACAGCTTGTCCAAGCCCAGAAGTGCACCAATCCTGAGACTGTTGTGGACTCCAGACCATCCTCTTGCTCCACCCAATAAATTTCCTGCTCTGTGGTCCTTCTGGGTTCTTCTTGCTCCACCCTCCCTGTTGAACAGATGGAGGAACCGCGTTAATACAGTTAGCTTGTTAAATTATTAAAGAGTCTTTGCTTTTGCATCAGATTGGGTCTCTTGGTGATTTGGGGGTTTGGAATTTCAGCACAACACTCTTAAGCCTTAAAGCTGTAGGAATATGCAGGGTGAGGCAAGAGATATGTTCCCCAATGGCAGATGGGAGGATGGGTTCAGAAATGGGGAACACAGTCAGGCCAGCGAGCCCCCTAGGAGCTCCCTTCTAATGGCCCCCTTTACTGTGAAGTGAGTTCCTCCACCACCTATTAGCTACGTAAATGTCATGGGAGTGTGTGGGACCTGTCATGGACCATGGTGCGGGCTGGGGACAGGGGAAGGCAAGGATACAAATCCACTTGCAGGTTATAAGCACTAATGCTCAGTAAGGGCCACTGCCAGCACAGTACCACCAGGTGGCGGCCCAGTCCCAGGGGAAACCACCTTGGAATGCCTGGTTCAGTGTGTTGTTTTATACAGAAAAGGTCTCATGGGAAGAAATGCCCAGCTCACAGCATCAAGTCCCAGGCCAAGAGGCCTGAGATTCAGTGCCAGCAAGAGACAGTTGGGCTAGGAGGGGAGGAAGCCACCTCACCTTGGAGACTTGAGAGCCAAAATGAAACAGGAGAATCGTTGACTGCTTCTTGATTGTCATCACACAGCTCCCTCTGCTCACCTGGGTGCCCAGAGAGGGTTACCGAGTCCCAGGATCACACAGGTCGGGTGGAGAGCAGCAGCGGCCACTCGTCACCTGCTGGGAGGAGAGTCCTGCCCCTTTCTTTGCCAGTCCATTGGGCATACGGCAGCGGCCCTGACCCACAGTAGCTCCTGCCCTTGAGAACAGAGAGTAAACCAACCACATGCACCGTAACAGCATTTCAGACCACAGCTAAGTGCCACAAGGAGCAGAAAACAGAATGAGACAAGCATGGGGGTCAGGGTCACTTCAGTCTCAAGACAGGAGCAGGACAGGTTCTCCTAGAGTACGGGGGCTCTTACAGAACCTCTGGGGCAGGAAACAAGAAGTGCACCCAGACAAAAGCCTCTGCTTCTCTAGACTCTAGGCACTTTTGAGAAACTAGTTCACTGAACTTCACCCCAGCCGATGAGACAATAGGACACTGGGGAGGGTGACAGCTAACTTGTTAGGTGACAGAACCAGGTGATCTAGTCCTGAGTGGGGGGGCCACTGTTCTGTTTCCTGAGTCTCTAGTGTGGAGTGTGGGTAGCCCACTTTCCCCCAGGGAAGTCAAGTCTCCGGCCTCTTGCCAGTTAGTGCCAGATTGAAGTAAGGCCCTTGAGACCCTTCCTGTCCTTCAGGCTCCTCTGAGGTAGTCCAGAGGTCCCAGCTCCCTGCCCCCAGCCTCTCCTTTTTCAGCTAACTGGGCCACCTCATTCTAAAGGGATTTGATTCTCCCTGAGACGACAGGAGACTGGTGAGAAAGGACTTAGGGATTAGACAGTGATACCCGGGAAGGTAGGAGACTTAATCTGGTGGGTTCAGGTGTGGGAGAGGATTTGTGTCTTTAGACACAGCCAGGTGGACTGCGGAAGCAAGAAGGAAGTAGGGCTCTGGGGGAGGAGAGGGATGGGATTGGGTTCTCATTTTCTCTTCACAAATAACCCAGGGTAGCAATAACAACAAGCCCTTCCCCCTGGGCTCCGCCGCTTTCCCAGCCACTGTGTCACTCGGAATCATCATAGTGGCCCCAGGGAGAATGGCAAAGGATTAGTTTTCACTCCAGGCCCCTGGCACTCAGAGTAACCTGAGGCAGCTGTAGCCTCACTAGGCAGGGTTAAGAGGAGGGACCTTCCTGTGGAGCCTCTGAGTTCAAGGGCTTTCTAGAATGGCCCTAGTGTTGTAGAAGTAGAGTGTTCCACAAATATTTGTTGAAGGGTTTAAAAGGCCGGACTGTGTTTCTGAACTCCAAGTCACTGTGTCAATCTCTGTGTCACTTTGCCTGCTATGGGCATCAGGAGATCTGAGGTCAGGGCACTGGAGAAGGGACTTTGATTCTGAGGCCAATGTTCTCCATTTGACGGGGAAGCCATGGAGGCCCTGAGGGCACAAGCGAGCAGCTAGGAAAGGAGCACGGTGCCCCACTCTCGCTCCCCACACCCCCGTGCACACGGTGCTCCATAGCCCCTGGGACACATTAGTTCTGGGACACAGAGCAAGGCTGCTGCTTAGGACGCCCAGTCCAGAACTCTGCCTGTGCCCAGAGCTGCTCCCTAGAAGAACCTAAACTCCAATGCCCTCACTTCCAAAATTAAGACTCCAAGCTCCTCTTTTAGGTGTCCACATTGCCTCAAGTGCCAGCAAGGAACACTCAGAGCCGTGCACACTCATGTTCCCGAAGCTTACCTCCAGGCTGTCTAACCCTGGAGACCAGGTCCTTCCTGTCAGTCCAGGTGACAGTCACAATACAGAAGAGTCCTTGTTAAGGTCAGGAGAAAAGAGCTTCTGGTTGGCAGAAGGCACATTTCAATGGGCAGATAAGGGAGAAGTTTCTGGAAACAGCTTTGGGTCAGGGCTTTGAGGACCAAGGAGGAGCTGGCTGGAAGAAATGAGAGAAAATAACTCTGACAGAGGCAGGGGTTAGAAGTGTGTTTAGGAAACAGCAGGGGGCATTTTTGACTGATAAGGAAGCGTACAGAAAGGGGGACTTTGACAGTTGAGGCCACAAGGGATGCTGGGAAGAGCAGCATCGACTTGAAGCACATCAGTGGGATGGGGTGACTTCTGAAGGAACTAGGGAGCCAGGGATGGCTCTTGAGCAGGGAAGGGAGGACTTAGGGCAGAGGGTGGGAAGTAGAGGAAAGGTAGGAGCAGGAAGCAGTCTCAGGAACCAGCCCTGAGGAATTTACCAGACTGTTTATCTAGGATTTATATTATCAGATTAACCAGTGGCTTCCCAGTGGAATTGGCAGTGAGCAGTCAGAGAACCGGAAAGAGGCAGACAAGAGGGAGAATTCTTTGCTTAGGCTTTTTGGGCTTGGAGAGCGACTCCAGGGATTTCACCTTTTGGGATAAACACGTCCATTGTGGTTTCCTGAGTGGGCCTGCAGGAGAAGGCACAGCCGGGTTTGTCTTGACTGAAAGCGCTCTCTGTAACCACTCCTCTCTTTCTTCAGGCTCCTCCACACGTCAGGTGACTTACCACTCTAGATAGGACTGGCCAACACTTCTAAGTCGTCTGTAAGGGCATTATAAACTGTAAGGGGCTGCGCCACCAGAAGGGACTGCTCTCCTTTCCTCGAGCGTGCTCTTCCCACCTGGTGAGGTCAGCTGGAAGCTTGCCAGGCACTGGCTGCCCCTCAGTCCACCCTTCAACATGGTGGGGGGGGGCGCAGCAAGTCCTTTCCTGTGCCATGAACAGGCCTGTTGCCACCTGCTGAGGAGAGACACGAGGGGCATCCTACTTCCTGCGGTCCTGGAGACCTGGATTTGAGGTAGCTGATGGCTACTTCTGTATTGATGCCAGGCAGGAAGGAGTGGGTTCAGATGACAGCTTCCCATTGATCAATCACTGGGCACTCTACATCTGCTGCACTCTTAATGACTTAGGGCAAGTCATGGCCTCTTTGAGCCTCAGTTTCCCCCGCTGTTAAGCGAGGCCACACGAACTCTGTGGGACGCTGCTTGTCTCACCTTCCTTTCAGATTCCCCCCCAGCACCGAGCTTTGGTTTGAAGCCCAACACTTCTTCTCTTCTCCTTCTCTCCTTCTCTCCATTCCAGTTTTTGTCATTTTCTTGAGCCCAGGCTGGCCTTAAGTTTGTGATCTTCCTGCCTCGGTCCTGAGTGCTGTGTTGCATAAATATGCCGCGACACCCCATCCCTGTCTGCAGGAGCCTATGCTGGGGGATGCAGGGTTTGTGGGGACTCTGGTAATTGAAGCAAGGACGTGTGGCCTAGAAGGTAGATGTTACTAAGCAAGGTCACGCCACGGTTTTTAAGCACTCCCCTCCCCCGTGCTGCATCTGCGTCTCTGGTTGTAGACTACCGCTAGAACACAGCTCGTGATAGTGTGCTGGTGCAGGTTGAGAGGTCCTTCTTCCGTGCACCCCACGGAAGGTGCAGGTCAGAGCCTGCTCTCTCCACGGAGCCTTCTAGGGTCTCTTCATCCAAAGCAAATGTTGTTCTCTCTAATCTCCTACTGCTTGATTCCTCTCCTTGACCATTTGCCTTGCTTTTGTGTTCTTTTTAGTATGTTTGGGACCCAAGGGTGGTGTGTGACCATTGCTGGGGTCCAGAACAATGCCTACTGCTTAGCATACAGCAGGAAGTAAAAAGTGACCCTGGACTTGTGACCAGGTGCCAGGTGCACGGAAAAAGACCAAAGTGGCAGGGGGCTCCAGCAGAAGGAGGGGCTATTGGACTCTGCAAAGAGGAAATTGCTTTACTGGGTAGGGCACAGTTAGTGGCAGGGGTGAGGGCGTGGGGGCAGTCTGATGGCACAGGCTGGACATGAAGCTTCTAGGCTGTAGCTGCCGGAGTCCTCCAACAAGTCGATTTGTCACTAGTGGGGAGCCCACAGGCCCTTGGCCAGAGCTAAGAAGCAGGTAAGCCACAGTAGGGCTGCTGAGGGTCTTGACTCCCATGGTTTCCTCTTTATCTAGTCTATGGCTGAGATCTGACTAGGCAGCCAGCAAAGGACGACTGTGCAGCCCTGCTAAGAAGTGGCCGCGAGAAGTCAAGGCTGAGAATCACACACATTAATTCTTTTTAGCCTCTTGCTGACTTATGAGTCTCAAATCACGCCCAGCTAGTGAAGGAGCAACAATGCAGAGAGGAAAGGGACTTGTAGGAAGTGTGGGACATGGGCACTCAGACCCGAGCCTCCAGCTTTGAGAGAGGAAGCAGAGCATGCCGGCTGAGATGGAGAGCTTTGGGAGTGGCTCCCAGAGTGCAGGGAAGGCCCGATGCAGAGAACAGGGTCTTGGGCAGGGAGGGGGTTCTTCCTTGTCCCTTACCCGGACACTGTGTTCTTCACCATGGCTATTCTGCAGGTAGAGGAAGTTTGGTTTGTTTGTTTGAATTCCAGGCCAGCCTCAAACTCAATCAGTCACGAAGGGTGATCTTGAACTTCTGATTCTCCAGCCTCCACCTCCCCAAAATGCTGAGCTGGTTGTAGTGATCATAAGTGGATGACAGAGTCAACACCACCACAGTTCCTAGAAGCAAAAAGACGTTCAGGGGGTGTATCACTTCCCAGTGGAGAGCTGTCAACATTTTGGGGTAAGGAAAGCGGTTAAAGGGCAGCTCGGTGCAGCCCTATGGAGTTGCTCCTTAGAAGAGGTCATTAGCCAGCTCTTTTCAGCCTCCTATTGGTTAGGATGAGGAGTAGCCCCAAGTAGCTCAGGTGTCTGAGGAGGCATCTTGGCTCGCCTCCAGGGCCTATGCGCGTCTCGCCCCGCCCCTCGGGCTCCTTTAAGAGGCGGGTCTTGGCCGCCAGCCTCGGGGCCTGGGCCAAAGGCTGGGACTTTACTCCGGTGGCTGCGGTGGTAAACGAGTCGAGTCAGAGCTCCATCAGCTGCCGCAGGCGCCGCGCCCCAAGTCTGAGCCACGATGAGCGGCAGAGTCGGTGACCTGAGCCCCAAACAGGAGGAGGCATTGGCCAAGGTGAGCATGATCCTGGCCCAGCTGCGGTCCTCGCCCTCCAGCTGAAAGAGGCTGCGAGGGTTGTCCCCGCGGGCGGGCGACCGAGGGAGAGGCGACCAGTCGCCCCCGCTTGACCAGAACCCGCTCACTGGCCGCTTCTCGCTCAGTGAGAGGACCTCGGGAAGTTTGGTCATCGCGGTCTCCTGCACGAGCAACCCTAGCGGTGCCCCCTGGGAAGAAGTAGTTGCTTGGAAGCCCTCAGAAGCAGCTGAAGGCACAAAGGCAACATTCATCCTCGGGACTGGCAGGGACTGGCAGCAGGGCCGTGGGACAGGGGCCGGGCCCCAGGTTTCCTCCCATTTCCGGGAGGTTTTCCTCGTGCGGGGCCAGTGGCAAATGGAAGGGTCCTGGACAGCTCCTTGGCAAACTCCCCACAGCCCTTGCAAGGCACCCAGTCACTGTGCGACCTTGGGCCAAGCCCTGTCCTGTGTGCTCTTTGATGAAATTGGAAGAGGCACCTGTGTGTGAAGTCTAAGATGCCGGCACTAACTAGGTTGGACTCCTTTCGGAGAGAAGAGCCCTCCTCCCTCTGGCGACCCAGACCTTTGCTGGGCAAGGGACTTAGTGATGCCTCTCGGAAGGAAAGGACATGACCAGGCTTTGCCTTGTCACCTGGGCAGAGAGGGACCTATCTGCTGTTCCATTGAAGTTCAGGGCTGGCCCTTCTGCCCAAAAGACTTGATCTCCTCAGTTGCAGGGAATCAGAATTGCTGGGGTCCAGCCCCCATGTTTGGAGGCTCCACAGCCGGGCAGTCTCTTATTTATTGTAGCGTGTAGCCGCAGATGTGGCTGCTGTGGGCGGCTTTTTTCCATGCCAGTTTTACTGCCAACCTGCAGGTGAAGTTTGGTGGACATGAGTTTGGTGGTGATTAAGGCAGGGTTAGGTAAAGGTTTCTGGTGAGGGTGGCCTCCTCTTGCTGTTTAGATGATCATTGTCCTAATGCTGGGAGCTGCTTTTGGGGGATGGGAGGGTCTGGCCAGACCTAGCTGACTTAAGAGGCAAAGGGCAGAGGTGGCCAATCCCCATTGGACACTCAGGGGGTGTCCTATAAGTCAGTGACCAGGTAAAGGTCACTGCTGGGGAGGCTTGGGGAAAGCAGTGAGAGACTGGAGTCAGGTGTGGCTGCCCCGTGGGGTTCCTGTCCACCTCATCCGGGCTCTCCTAGTACTGTTCCCTTTTCTGGCTACCTGCTGGAGCAGTTCTCTCCATCTGGGGGTCCATCTCCTCCCCTCTGCTGCTTTTGCAGTCTCTCATACTCAGCTCAACTACCATTTTTTAGGAAGTGCTACCCGCTTCCTTCTCTCTGCTCCCTGTTCCATTACCAAGGGGGTGGGAAGACTTCCACCAGGAGCCTGGGATCTGGACTCAGATCCATAGCACAGCTGCTGGGGTGCTGCCCAGCCTCTTTGTGCTTTCATCTCTTCAGCTGTAAAATGTGACAAGGACACCTCCAGGGGCCCTGGGTGAGGTGGAAGACAGAGCCCAGGTCAGTGCTGTACAGAGGACAGGTGCTAGGCATACAGACCGGGTGCCCGCTATCCATCACTGTTCACTGGGGACACACCCCCTTGCCCATCAGGTGAGTATGGAGACATACTTACCAGTGAGGCAGGCCAGTGTCCTGGTCCCTCACCCAGTACTCCTAGCAACGCAGCCCACAACGTCACTCAGTCAGTGGCTACAACACTATGTTAAAGGAGGGCTTTGGCAGAGACCCCACCCCATGCAGGGACCTCCCACTCATCCAGCTATTTCTCCCCGTAGTTTCGAGAAAACGTCCAGGACGTGTTGCCCACCCTGCCCAATCCAGATGACTACTTTCTCCTTCGATGGCTCCGAGGTGAGGGAAGACTGGTGAGGGAGGCTGGGGCGAGGGCATGTACTGGACAACAGAATGATGTCCTCTGGAAACTCTGACAAGCTGAGACACAAAGAGGGCTGGCACCCCCACCCCCACCCCCGGCTCCAGCCCTTCTACACCATACAGACACGGAAGCTCAGGGGGTGAGCTGCAGTCAGGAAGAAGACTCAAAACTCTGGGCATGGACTGTTAACATCTTTCCATCTACCCCATTAAGGTGGCCGCTGCAGACAGATGAAGGGAAATCAAAACCCAGAAAGCCCCCACCATGTGGGAAGTTGGAGGCAGAACTGGATTAGAACCAGGGTCCTGGTTCTGTTGGCTTGAATGAAGGGCACTGTGCACAGGGCTGAGAAGGGCGCCCCTCCCCCTTCACAGGCCAGGGTCTTGAGTTCTAGTTCCAGCCATGCGCCAGCTCAGCTGTAACACCTGGGCCAAGGTCACAGGTCTCTAGGCTCCTCCTCTGAGAAGTGGGTTAGACACAGTGCCCAGCTTTTTTTTTCCTCAGGATATAGCATGGTAACGTCCGCCTGTGGAGTGATGGGAACATGTTGCTGCTAGTGTCAGACTCAACCCCCACTCCTTGTACCTTTTTATCTTCATCTCTCTCCTTGCCTGTCATCCGAGGCACGTGTCACTCTTCCTGCCTCTTCCGACACACACTTTAATTGTTCTTTCTAGAAACTTTATTACCAGACATAAAAATGAGAAAATTCTACTGCATTGGACTAGCAGAGCTCCAGTTGTGACATACAACTCTGCTGTACATGTTAAGAGTACAGGACCTGCCTTGTGACTTCTTTACAGACACACTGGCACATCTCCCAGCCAGGGAAGACTTGTAATAGATTAAAACAATGAAATTTTTGCTTTCCAGAAATTTTATAAAGTTGGCATATTCTTGAAGACGTGCTAGCAACACCCCAGGACAGGTGTACCCAAGAGAGCCATGTAGGGCTCATGGGCCCTGAAAGTGTCACCTGCTTACCCCACCCCACCTCCACCCCCGATATGACCTGGCCCCTCTCCCAGTCCACCTAGAGAGGGTGGAGGGCTGGTATGGGGGTGGTAATGAAGTCTGTCTATGCTGGAGGAAATTTTGGCCTAGCTTTTGCTGAAAGGCTACAGCTAGAAGCAGGTAGGAGGAGAGAGTGGGAGATAGTAGCCTCCTTAAAGGGCCAGCTGCAAGATGATCCGACTAGGTGTGGAAGAGACTGTGACAGAGAGCCATTAAGAGCTCTGCTGCTCTATTTTATTTAGGAACAGGTCAGTGTGAGGTCTTGGCAGCTGGTCTCCTAGACATTAAACTTTTGCTATCAGAGTCCTGGGATGGGATAAACCTTTTGAATAAGGCTTCATAGTTTAATCAGGACCCGTTTCTGGCACCAACTCCACCCACATAGGATGGTAATTCTCATTTTCCAGATGGGAACACTTAGGCTCAGATAGGGCAAGGGCCTTACCTGAAGGCACAAGGAAATGGAAAACCCAATCAGAGCAGAGCCCAGGGCTCTGGATTCCCAGCCAGCGCTTTCCAGTAAGCCACGGCCTCCTTCTCAGTGAGCTGCTCCTGAGACCAAGCATTGCCTCCTAATTGTTTTTAAGCTGCTGAGGATCGAACCCAGGGTCTGGGGCATGCCAGGCAAGGATTTTTATCACAGAGTTACACTCCTTGTTCTGAGAGCAGAAAAAGAAGTTTCCCCTCTGTAGTTCATTTGTGCCTCAGATTTTCTGGGCAGGAGTTTTGGCTTACTCAGGCCCTATTATGAATTTGAATTGGGGTTTTTTTTATTGCCTTAAAAAAAAGCACTATTTTCCCCCATCATCCCTTTGATTCTAAAGGAGTCGTTTGCAGTAGAATGTGGTATGAGTTTGGGTTCAGTTCTCTGCTAGGCCTCCCCAGCAGGCACACAGGTGTCCACTGCCTCTCTCTGGTTGGGTGAGATCTGGGCACCCCAGCAAGGAAGGCCAGTGAGGGAGACAGAAGAGAGGTGGGAGGAACCCTGGGAGAGAGGCGAGCATAGGAGAGTGAGTCTGAAGCTTACAAGGCTAGGGTATGGGCAAAGCAGAGCCCAGTCTGGCGCTCCTGGGCTGGGTTATCGTGCAGTGCCCCACGCCAGGCTTTCAGCTGCTTCTGAGCAGGGCAGCAGGAGCCTAGAAAAACCTGACTTGCCAGGCAGTGGTGGCGCACGCCTTTAATCCCAGCACTCGGGAGGCAGAGGCAGGAGAATCTCTGTGAGTTCGAGGTCAGCCTGGTCTACAGAGTGAGTTCCAGGACAGCTAGGGCTGTTACACAGAGAAACCCTGTTTCAAAAGCCAAAAGCCAGACAGACAGACAGGCAGACAGACAAGAAAGAGAGGGAGGGAAGGGAGGGGAGTGAGTGAGTGAGGAAGGAAGGAAGAAGGAAGGAAGGAAGGAAGGCTGACATAAACAGAAGACCCTGAATGTTGGATCTTGGCAGACAGGGTTAACTGGAGATGTTTTCCCAGATAAGGGCACTCAGTTTACTACTCCTGGATCCCTGCTCTTTACAGAGATAAGGGCTCTCCTCTCTCATGGTCTAGCTCCTCTCTTACAAAAAGACATTCAGTTCTAGCTTCTTAAGTGGTGTGGTCAGGCATACACAGTATCTCGTAAACACACAAGACGGGAGAGCTGACATGCAGACCCACATTAAATTCCTCTAAAAGCTGCCCTGGGCTGCTGGTGGCACAGGAAGGGTGGCAGTGAGGAAATCCCCAAGCCCGACTTGCCACAGTGGCTGCTCAGATCTGCCAGAGAGGATCTGGCGTGCATACTGGCCGTGACTTGGCCCAACCCTTTCTCGTTTTTAGAGGTATTTAAAATGTATAGGGGTTGGGGAGAGATTGGGGTGGGACGTGCATGCCACAGTGCACACGTGGAGGGGAGGGGGTGACTGTGGAGTTATCCACCTTCGCATGGCTTCAGGTCACTGCGCTTGCGCAGTAAGCTCCTCTACCCACTGAACATCTTTTTTTTTTTAATTATGTATTTATTTTTAGGTATGAGTGCTCTGACCACACATTTGCCTGCAGGCCAGAAGAAGGCATCAGATCCAATTATAGGTGGTTGTGAGCCACCATGTGGTTGCTGGGAATTGAACTTAGGACCTCTGGAACAGAGCAGCCAGTGCTCTTAACCGCTGAGCCATCTCTCTAGCCTACCCACTAAACCATCTTACTGATCTTTTTTCTTTCTTAAGATAGTGTTTCCAAAAAAAATAGTTTTTCAATATGCAGTCCAAGTTAGCATGAACATCCTATACGGCCCAGGCTGACTTCAAACTTGAGACCTTGGGTGTGGTTCCTTGGTAGGCTGAGACACCAGGGTCTCGAGCCTAGGCTTGGTCAGACCTTTAGACAAACCATCCTGACTCAGATGGAGGACTGGACTTCACGAATGCAGAGTCAGGGAATATGTTCCCCTGCTCCCAGAGAGCAATGATGAAGGCACAGCCGACAGCCCAAAGGGCAGCCTGTATGTTCAGTTCTAGGACTATCAGCCGATCTAGACATCAATTAAATCCATGGAGGATGCACAGCCAGGAGACAGTTTTCAGGTCAGAGGCTGTCAGTAACTCCTCATGATGAATGAAGTGGCCCTGTGGTGAAATGTGAGAGGGTACAGGGAAGGGTCCGCCCCTCTCTCTGTGGAGGGATTGGAGACTTAGCCAGTGCACAGGTGTGAAGGATTTGGGGTTTCAGTTGACTCTAAGCTCCACCTGAACTAAAGGTGTGGCTGTTGCCAAGAGAATTCTTAGGACTTACTGGAGAAGGGGCAAACAACACCTGGGCTCAAAAGGTACAGTTCCCCTAGGAGGGGCCCCCACCAGGTGGACAGCGTCTAAAGGGAAGTGACAGGATGGTTGTGGAGCTGGGTGGGAGAAATGAAGGCTCTAAGGACAGGCAGCACAGTGGGAGGGGAGGCCCAGGTGGGCAGCACAGGACTCATGTTGTGGGGGGACAGATGATGATGGGGGAAATTACTGTTTTTGGAGTGTCCTCTGAACTACAACTTACAACAAATTAGTGCGGATGGCAAGTGGCCTCAGAAGACAGTGAAATCTTGGGTTCAGATTTGAGCAGGACAACTTATTGGGGAGGGACCAGATAAACCGAATAAGAACGAACCCACTGTGCTTCTTTAAGGAGTATGTGGCTCTTTTGGAGAAATGTCACGATTGGCGAGAGGCATGGTGACTCCTCTACCTCTGCAGGAAGTTTGGCCAGCTCTGCCCAGCTCCTGGGGCAGCTGTGCTCATCTTTGAACTGTGGGTCAATTTCTCATGGCTGGATGTTATACTGTGGAGGAGATAAATTTTGTCCTTGTGGGGGATGGCCAGTTGATAAAAAGGATCCAGGGTTCATTTTCTCTGAGATAAGACCCTTTACCTGCTTATCTGCCAGGGTACTCTGACCCCAAGATTGCAATGCTGCCCACTCCCAACTGCTCTGAACTTGACCCATCTACCCTACAAACTCAGGGCTGTGGTGTTTTACAAATCTGACAAGTTGGCTGGGGAACCCACACGGGCACTTGGCCCAGCCTGGGAACAGGTCCTTAGGCATGCAGTCTGATGCCCAACCTTGACCATGCTTTTGTTACAGCCCGAAGCTTTGACCTGCAGAAGTCAGAGGCCATGCTCCGGAAGGTGAGTTTCTACTGCTGCTAGTTTCTCCCATCAGAGTCATATTTTGCCTGGACTTTCCCTGCCTACCTGTCACCCACCCCTATTTAGGTTTCGGTTTGTGTGACACACAATTGTTGCTTTATTCCTGAGGGCCAAAGTGTATTTCCTTCCCTGGAAACATTGAACTTTTCTACTTCCTGATCAGCAAGAATATTCTTGTTGAGTTATCTAAAGAAACTAGGGTCTCCTTTTCCACTCCTGTCCAGTTCCTTCTGGGGGTCACCTGTGGTGATCATTTATTCATTCCTATTCAGGACCCCACACACACCTAGTCCACCTTGCTTCCTAAATCGTTTTGCATTTGCAGCATGTGGAATTTCGGAAGCAAAAGGACATTGACAACATCATCAGCTGGCAGCCCCCAGAGGTGAGGACGAATTACCCCACCCCATCCCTGTGTAAGGATGCTTATTAGACTCGGTCTGTACCCTGGTCTACTGGACTGGGAGCCTCAGATGACAGGTCTGACAATGCCAAAGTTGACACTATGTATCTCTTGGCACCAGGGGAGGATTTGAAGGGAGACTTGTGAGCCAGGGGAAGGGATGGGCTTGTCCACAAGGTGATTTACTATGTCTTTGGCCAGGTGATCCAACAGTATCTGTCAGGCGGCAGGTGTGGCTATGACTTGGATGGCTGCCCTGTCTGGTATGACATCATTGGGCCTCTGGATGCCAAGGGTCTGCTATTCTCCGCCTCCAAGCAGGACCTGCTCAGGACCAAGATGAGGGACTGTGAGCTGCTACTGCAGGAGTGTGCCCACCAGACCACAAAGGTGGGGTCTACCTGCCGTGAGGATGTCTTGGCCACGGCAGAGACATTCAAGGAGAGGCGGGAATGCCACACAGAGATGGAAGTACCAGCCTTAGGGTTGGGTTTAACAGACCTGAAACCCCAGGTTTTAGATGAACACTGTATCACCATCCTTGTGCTCTCTCCCTCTCCCTCCCCCTCCCCCTCTCCCTCTCCCTCCCCCTCTCCCTCCCCCTCTCTCCCTCCCCCTCTCTCCCTCCCCCTCTCTCCCCCTCTCTCTCCCCCTCTCTCCCCCTCCCTCCCCTCCCCTTCCCTCCCCTCCCCTCTCCTCTTCTCCTCTCCTCTCCTCCTCTCCTCTCCTCCTCTCCTCCTCTCCTCTCCTCTCCTCTCCTCCCCTCTCCTCCTCTCCTCTCCTCTCCTCCCCTCCCCTCCTCCTCTCCTCTCATCCTCCTCCCCTCCTCTTCCCCTCCTCCTCCCCTCCCCTCCTCTCCTCTCCTTTGTCCCCTCCCTCCATTCCTTTGACTGGAGATTGGACCGAGGGTCTTGTGCATATAGGCAGGTTCTCTATTCTGCTCTACTACTAAACTATACCCTATCTTGTCACACCTTCATTTTGTTAAGTAAAAACTCAAAGTAATCTCTGTTATTGCCATGATGAATGCCCCAAACTATAGGAATGGTATATATAGGAAAGATCTGAGGCTAAAAAGCAGTCCTTTACACCGAAGACATTGGCTTAATTAAAACTTCACTAGGGTGAGGGCTGGAGCTCACCCTTTACACCCAGGGCTTCCACACCAATACAGAAAAAAAAGCATTGTAGCGAGTTGAGTGGCATACGCCTGTAATCCCATGATTCACAAGTCTGAGGCAGGGGGATTTTGAATTTGAAGTAAGCCTTAGCTATATAGTAAGACCCTAAAAACAAACAAAAGAAATCAAGAAACTATAAATTACTACAGCTGGATATGTTGCTCGGTGACAGGCAGCTCACCTAGCACAGGCAAGGACCTGGGTTTAATTCTCAGCACTACAAAAAACCTATATGGTGGAAGATGAGAAGAAACTTCCCCAAGTGATCTTTGGAGCTGCACATTCCCACTGTGGCATGTGTACACACACACACACACACACACACACACACACACACACACACACACACGGGGGAGGGGGGTGCTGAGGACCAAGGACTGAGGACCAAGCTGGACCCATCCCTGGCCTCCTTCCCCCAGCAGCTGCAGATGTGTTAAACATCTCAGCATGTTATTTACAGATGTTCACAGAGAGCCCACTCAGTATGGAACCTCTGAGAGGCTGGGGGCACAAAGGGGCTCAGCCTGATGCTTCTTTAGAGCTTAGGTAGAATGGAGCATCTATGCCTGAGGAAGAGGTGGTTTAGGCCCAGGTGCCATATGGATGCTGCCCAGGGAACATACAGTAATTGACAGTAAGACAGAGGCCATCAGGAGAACCTGCAGGACAGTGGGGACCTCAGATATGATCTTGATCCACTCTAGTCATTTGCTAGATGAGAACAGTTTGTCTAGGTCAAAATTCCACCCTAGATGACATCTGCATCTGAAAAGCCTTGGGCCTAAGCTGGCCCTCTGCTGCCTGCTCTGCGTGTACCCCGTGCAATGAGCACAGGCCCTGAATTCTGTGAGTTCTATAGCAGGGCAGTGACACAATCTCCACTGTCTGTCTGTTCGCTGTAGCTAGGGAAGAAGATAGAGACCATCACCATGATTTATGACTGTGAGGGCCTCGGCCTCAAGCACCTCTGGAAGCCTGCAGTGGAGGCCTACGGAGAGGTGAGAGGCAGGGAGTGGGGGCAGGAGGGACCGCTTAGTTAGGCTGACTGGCAAGATGAAGGGCACTGAGCTACTGAAACTAGAGCGATTTTGCTTCCACAGTTTCTCTCCATGTTTGAAGAAAATTACCCTGAAACACTGAAGCGTCTGTTTGTTGTTAAAGGTAAGTTGGGAATTTCTGGTGATGAAGTCAAATGAGAACAAGAGGCTGAAACCATTACTTGGAGGCAGACTGAGTGAACAGTGAGCCAGAGAGGCCCAAGGACCTGTTCGGAAGCCTGACCTTGACCTTGACATGTACAGAAGTGTTACAGTTCCCAGAGCATTTGAGTCACCTGGCCCAATAGGATTCAGGTTGGTGATGCCATAGGAGGAGACTCGTTGGCCACAACCCTTGTACAGATTGAGAGCTAGACTTCAGGCACGCCTGGCTGAGCCTCAAGCTTACGTGGGAGGCAGATGACACTTCAGCACCTGAGTTACCCTTGCTCTCTGCTTCATGTGGTCTTGCCTCTCCTTCCAGCCCCCAAGTTGTTTCCTGTGGCTTATAACCTCATCAAGCCCTTCCTAAGTGAGGACACTCGTAAGAAGATTATGGTCCTGGGGGGTAAGTGATTCAGATTGGGTCTGGCTTTAGGGGTGTGGTGTCTCCAGGACAGAGGCCTATCTTCTATTTAGGGAGTAGTTGGGACACAGGGGCAAGTGGAGACAGATCTGTGGCTTCCTGTGTCTTCACAAGGACACCTTTCCTCACACACTTTACAAGCAAACACTGGGCTTGCCATGCACATTCAAAGATGAATGGAATTCCAGTGCTTATCCTTAAGGGTCTTACAGTATTACAGGGGAGAGACAACTGCAGAGAAAAGGCTATGGTGTGAACCAGAAGGCTCTAGAAAGAACATCAAGAGGGTGCATGCAGATTATCTGGGAGCAAGGAGTGAGTGGCTCCAGTCCCACAAATACCTTTTCTGTGCCAGATCCAGGACTAGGTGCCAGGCTACACGGATTATTAAGACAGAGTCCCTTGGCTAGCTCTCAGGAGAGACATAAATATGCTTGTCAGATCTCTGTGAGTTCGAGGACAGCCTGGTCTACAGAGCGAGTTCCAGGACAGCCTCCAAAACAATACAGAGAAACCTGTCTCGAAAAACCAAAAAAAAAAAAAAAAAAAAAAAAAAGCTTGTCAGCGTGATATGATACCTGGGAGAAAGGGAAACCACAGTGTGCAGTCACACCTAGCAGCAATCCCAATGCCACCAGAGTTGAGGGGAGAGCCATGCCTACCTAGGCTACATACAGCAACATGAGAAAGCTGAGCACACGGAACAAAGCAGAAAGAGGAGCTCTGCGTGAAAGCCTCCCTTGGGACTGTGCAGGCAGTTGTCATGGGATGTGAGGCAGAGGACAGCAGAGAGGCGGCTGCAGAGGGAGCCAGGAACCAGGTCACACACAAACCACAACACCATGTTGAGAGGCTGGGGCAAGACTCTTCGGGCCACTGGGAGCAAGTGCTTACAAGGGAGTGCCGTGGTCAGATTTTCAAAGGACTCATACCTACCAGCAAAAGTCCACGCAAGCCAGATACCAGATTGCATGCCATGCTGTCGCCCATGCCAGAGATGGTGTAAGTGAGGCATCAGGGAAAAGGAGGAAAGGCTGGACTTACGACCTGCCCAAGAAGCAAAACAGAATTCAACTGGCTGCAGAGAGGAAGTTAAACTCATGATAGAGGCTGACTGTGCAAGACCTACTGATGAGGAGGGTGCAGGAGCCTCGAGTGAAAATGGGGATATACCCAAGTTCAAGTGCAGAGAGAGTGACAGGAGCCATGGGGACAGTGACAGGTGATGGATGAGGCTGGCACAGACGCAAGGGTTGGATGTGCAGCGGGGTGGGGAGAGTGCCAGTGACCCCGGACCAGCCTAGAGGACACACAGGAGCAGGCCTACGGGAGACAGGCGGACTGGGACAGCCTCTGGAGTTGAACTGGCAGCAGTAATAGTGATTCCGAAGGTGTCTGCAGGGCTGCCTCTAAATAACACATTGCAAGGGGCAATTTTGGTTTGCTTCTTTACCTTTGGGCTAAGACAAAGTGAGAGTGGCAACTTTGGACTGGGAAGATGGTGAATGTCTATTTTCCCAGCACTTTGGAAGTTGAGGATCTCCAATCCTAAGTTGTCTTGGCTACATTCTAAGTTCAAGTCCAGCCCAGGTTACATAGTGAGACCCTGTCTTAAAATGACAGGTAAAACATATCCTTGTTATACAAGGCGGATGACCTGAGTTTGATCCCTGATCCCACAGTGGAGGGCGGGAAACAACCCCCAAAAGTGCTCTTTAGCTCCCACACATGCAAAATTCCAGCACACATATATCGTACACACATGTACTAGCAATAAAATATTAAAAGAATGCATTTAAGATACATCAGGGTCTTCTTCTCATCATCTCTTCTCTTCCCTTACTCTACTCTTGTCTCTCCTCTTCTCTTACTCTCATCATCTCTTCTCTCTCATCTTCCTCTCTCTCTGACATGTCTGTCTCCCCCCTTCCAGTCTCGCTATAATAAACTATGATTAATATGATCCCCATGGCTTGTGCTCCATCCATCGTGCCAGTCCTGGTTCCCTAATTAACAACATTGGATGCCAAGACTCGAAAGGTTTTTCTGGCATCTCCTGCTTTGGCTGAGATGTCGACAGCCTGTGAACTTCAACTCGGTCACTTTTCCAACTAAGGATCTCTGGGTTCTTCCACTCACCATTGCCATGACGGATCTACAGAGGCACCAGAGAGTTCCATACAGCCTGGACTGCGATGGAGCAACCAGCTACCCCAGACATGGCAACACCCCAGCTTTCTCAGTTTCCCCCAAAGATGTCCAATGCCCCCCAGGTCAGCAGGAAGCAGTCTTAAGAACTCAACGTCCTTATTCCCTCACCTGCCATGTCTAACAACCCCACCTCTTCTTAATCATAAATAAAGGTGGGAATGAAAGGTTCAGGCATTACACTGGCCTGTCCTGTTACCTGCAGAATGCACTCAGGCAGCACCCTGGCCAGCCCAGAGTTCCATGAGAACCAGTCTGCACGCAGGTGCAAAGGACCCTTTTAAAGGACAGACCCTGCCCACTTAGTCTCTCGTCTTCTTCTCTCTCATCATCTCTTCTCTTTCATCTTCCCTTACTCTCTCCTCTTCTCTCACCTTCTCTTTCCTCGTGTCTGTCTCCCCCTTTTGGCCTTGCTATAATAAACTATGATTAATATGCTTGACAAAAAAAAAAAAAAGATACCTCAGGGATAGGGAGGCAGAAGAAGGCTGAACTACACAGTGAATTCCAGGCTAGCCTGGGTTACACAGTGAGACCCAATTTCAGACAAAATTCCCAGCTTTGGCAGTGGCTGACGCTGCTTTGTATAGATTGGGAAGACCTCTCTTGATTTTCTCTCAGCTCTCCAGCTCAGCTGGGAAAAGAAATAACAAAATCAGAGCAATATGTTTTTTGGGTTTTGGTTTTTCTGCTGCTACCACCCACCAAGTATGTGAGGTGGTTTGGTTTCCTGGCAGCAGAGTTATGTAGGAGGTTCCATCTGTTCTCCTACCCACACTTAAAATTCTTTCAACCAAATGTGCCTTGGGCCGATTGGGAAGAAACAAGATCTCCAACAGAGGAGGGATCAAAGTTACTCCAGGTTGGTCACTGGAGTTTAGCAGTGCCAATGAAATCACCCCAAGGCCACAGGCACTGTGTTCTAGGAGTCACATGGTTTGGGGTCCTTAAGTACCCGAGGATTGGCAGACACAGGATGGTCAGTGCTCCAGTCATCTGTGCAGAGGATACTAGACTAGCCCCTGGCCTGGAGCTGCTGACTAGAGATGGTCTGTGTAGTCAGTGTGGTTTCCAGTATTAAAGCATTGCACTAGGTTGGTTATTTATTGGGGAAATGATTATCGGCACCAGACACTCAAGAGTTAATCGATCCAATCAGGAGAGGATTTGACTAGGAAAAAACCAAACAAGTCAGTGTTGGTGGCACAAACCTTTAATCCCAGCACTCAGGAGGCAGAGGCAGGTGGGTCTCTGTGAGTTGGAGACCAGCCTAGACTACAGAGTGAGTTCCAGGACAGGCTCCAAAGCAATACAGAGAAACCCTGTCACGAAAAACAAAAACAAAAAACAAAACAAAACAAAAAATAGTCAACCAGCCTAAAACAAGAATAGAAGTGAGGTTGACTGGGTAAAGCCAAAAAGGCCCAATCTGAGGGGTCACTCTTCAGTGGGATGCTCATTCAGTCAGTGTAGAAGACGGGAGAGCAGCGGAACTGGGTGCGAACCTGTGATTTAAGACTTTTCCAGTCCTGCTGCAAACTCCTTTGCATGAAACAGTCGTCCATCTGCCCGTGCTCCCCCGCCCATTTTGTTCCCATCTGGCTTCTATTTTAATGTTTGCATCCTTTCCTAGGAGTGGTAATATACTAGTTTACGAAGTCTTCTCACACATCCTTAATTCATCTTGCTGCCGTCACAATCCCGACAGCAGGCAGTTCAGGATGAAGTGGTCCCTAAGGTTGTTGAGTTGGTCAGTCACTATGACAGCAGCCCAGGGTTTCTAATCCTGGGCCTGGCAGAGCTCTGGGCAATAGCTCTTTCTAACTCTGTGTGGTACTGTTTATGCATCACATACTCATGAAGTACTCCCCTCACCCCGCTGCCGCCCCAATACAGTCTCACTATAGAGCCAAGGCTGGCTTCAAACTCACAGTTCTCCTGCCTGCAGCCCTTTGAGTGCACAAGTGTGCACCATGGCCAGCCTATAATGCTCCCTTTTAAGGTGGGGGCAGCCTTTTCTGCCTCTTCAGGGCTAACCACCAGGTATCAAGTCCTGCCTACTGACACCTTTCTGTCCTTCCCTCTCCTGCCAGCAAACTGGAAGGAAGTTTTACTCAAATATATCAGCCCCGAACAGTTACCTGTGGAGTACGGAGGCACTATGACTGACCCTGATGGAAACCCCAAGTGTAAATCCAAGGTATGAGCCGCCAGGTGAGGACAACAGGGGGAGTCTTAGCTCAGATGGGCACCCCAACTCACCCTGTTCTCTGCTTCCAGATCAACTATGGGGGTGACATCCCCAAGCAATATTACGTGCGAGACCAGGTGAAGCAGCAGTATGAGCACAGTGTGCAGATTTCCCGAGGCTCCTCCCACCAAGTGGAGTATGAGATCCTTTTCCCGGGCTGTGTCCTCAGGTAGGACTGGGTGCCTCCAGGGACCTGAGATTTGTCAGTGCCAGTGGGTGGGCTGGGCTGGCAGAAACCCCATTGCCATGGACACATACACACTCACAGGTGGCTGTTCTCTGCAGGTGGCAGTTTATGTCAGAGGGATCAGACGTGGGTTTTGGGATTTTCCTGAAGACCAAGATGGGGGAACGGCAGCGAGCAGGGGAGATGACTGAGGTGCTGCCCAACCAGAGATACAATTCCCACATGGTCCCCGAGGACGGGACTCTCACCTGCAGTGATCCAGGCATCTGTAAGTATCTGTGTCTTGGCAACTCATGAAGGCCATCACCTTTCTGTTTATGACACACCACCTCAGTGTCAGAACAGGAAGGGGCATTCCATGAGGTCATCGCTCCTGACACAGAGGAGGAAAACTAGATTTGGAAAGATATAGTGACTTAAGGGGGACCAGATAGTTAACAACAGGGTGGGACTCTCCCCTGATATTCCCAAGTAGAGGTGAGTACCTGCCTTTGGGGGCTGGGCGTGGCGGAGAACACCTGTAATTCCAGCATTAGGAGGCTGAGGCGGTACTGCAGGTCGAGGCCAGCACCACTCACTCCAGGCTGACCAAAGAGCAGATAGAGGGAACAAGAAGGCAGTTGACACATGACAAAAGCACTTACAGGAGCTCGTTTGGTATTGGTTAAAACCCCTTTAGACCCAGAACCCTACTTCTGAAATTGTCCTACAGAAACCTTTACAAACACATGAAACTAGGGGACCAAGAAGTTCCTAGCAACCCACAAAGCCAGCAACACAGCAATATAACAAAACACAGGTAGTCATTAAGAAAACACAGTGACGGTTAAGACGTTAACTCATGTCACGTGGGTAAACATGAAATACAGCATGTGTGGTATACATTCACTGAGGTTGAGGGGGAAAAGTGTGTAAACAGAAAGGAATTCTGGGAAATCCACACTAACTTGAAGGTAATAAAGCTTACAGAAGGCTGTCATTTTCCTCTTTCTGCAAATCTATTTTACAGTGTGGTATAGTGGGGAAATCCCCAACATATGTTAGCTACACAGAAGCCAGGCGATTTTTAGTTTTCTCTCTGACAAAGCCAAGAGACGAGGGGTAGAAAAGCGACAAGCAAGGGCATTATGCTCAGATCTGAGCAGGACTTGACCACTGGGCTATATGTGTGGTCTCGGGCAAATGACAGCCTTCCTAAGAGTGTTTTCTGATTGCTGCAACTGGGACCTTACAGAGATGACAGATCACATGTGATGATAAGATCTGTGAGGCATTGGAGTGGTACCAGAGATAGAGCATGCAACTCAGGACCGGCAGCCATCATTATTACTATTATTAGGTGTTGGGGAGGTCCTGTGCATTTGTCAATAAAGCACTGCTGGCCAATAGGAATCTAGATAGGTGGAACTAGGAGTCCAGGAGAACTCGGGAAGGAGGAACACAGAGAGTCAAGATCGCCATGGGGTAGGAAGCCCGGAACTATGCTCCGGTAAGAAACATACTTAGATTAACAATTATGGGGTAATTACTTAGTCAGAGCTAGCCAGTAAGAAACAAGCAAGGCCAACAGCTTCATAATTAATATAGCCTCCTTTGTGTTTATTTGGGACTGATGCGGCTCTAGAACCAGGCTGGCGGGAGGGCTCTCCACAAAGAAAAGGTTTCCCTTTACAATTAGGGCAGCTCCGGGAGCAGGGCTGTCCCTAGAGACTATGGGGCGAAATGGGTGAATCCCCGGGCTCTGCTGTGGAGGCGGCACTAACCCCACAGATATCTGCAGTGCCAGAGCTCCCTTCTTATGGACACACGGGCACAATCTGGCTCCCTAAAGAACAGGTTTCATTCTTGTTAGTGAGCAGCCAAGTAGCAGGGGCAAACATACTCTGTGCTGTACCAAGAACATGGCTTAGCATCGCCCAGGCGTTGTCATCTACAAAGGAGAAAGCACTTTATACTCACAAGGTAGACTTTTCTTTAGATTATGAGGAAGCTGAGGCATAGACAAAAGATGTTCTCTCCCCCATCAAGTAGATAATGTAGATGCCAAGAGAGGGTACTAGAGGCTCCTAGTCACAGACTGCCTGAGAGAAAATTAAGACATTTATCTTTGTTGTGACAAGAGTCCCAGATGAAGGAAGTATTTCCATAAAGGCCATGGAGGTAGTAGGAGGGCCCCCAACACTGTTTATCTGAAGAATAAACAGCCTTTTAATACATCCAGGATGGCGACTGTAAATCCTCCACTTATTGTAGTCTTCCTGGATCTGTCCCCACAAGAACCCTTAACCGCTCTGGGATCTGTCCATTCTGTGGAGAAGAGGAGGCAGGCCATGGGATAAAATTCCTCCCAGATGGTAAGGCAGTGAGGTAGGGTCAAATGTCATTAGGAGGCAGGGGTGTTGAGAACAGAGCCTGGAGATCTAAGGACTAGGTAAAAGTTCACCTGTGGGAGGGCAGTGCCTCTGAGGATCGGATGACCCCTGCAAAGTGGAGCACGATCACCCTGTGGAGAATTAAACTGTTGGGTATGTCACTTCAAATTGTAGGAACACAGCCTTCCCTGGGCTTCCCTGCCCCTTGTTCAGGTGTACTAGCTGCGGAGAGGCCAGCGTTTGGGTGGGTTTCACCTGCTCCCGATTACTTTCTGAGGGACTGCTCAACTAGGGATGGACAGAATGAAGAAAAGAGTGGAAAGGGCTTTGAGCAGGAGGATTCGATGTGCTTAAGAAGATCTGAACTACTCTAGGGAGGGCCAGACAGTGCTGGAGAAGAGGCCGTCTAGGCACCGATGCCTGCTTGCTGAGAATATCTAGCTTTGCCACCACCTCTCCCCCAGTGTTCCCAGCAAGCATCTCTGAAGAAGAGACTTGGTTTTCCTTCACCATACATGAGGGAAGTAGGCTAGAGCAGATTTCCTTCTGGGGTCCATGGACTCCCTAGAGAGGTGATTCTGAACCAACATTTCCCTCTTATTTTTTTTTTCGAGACAAAGTTTCTCTGTGGCTTTGGAGGCTGTCCTGGAACTCGCTCTTGTAGACCAGGCTGGCCTCGAACTCACAGAGATCTGCCTGCCTCTGCCTCCTGAGTCCTGGAATTAAAGGCGTGCGCCACCAACACCCAGCCATTTTCCTCTTATGTCTATTGTTTCCATTACTCTCAGATAATGTAACTCACCTACACATATAATTTTAAAATCAATAAGCTCTATCTGTAATGTAAAAGAGAAACAAAAGGAAGTCAATTTGAATATAATTATGAGGAACCAAGGATTTGCTTCCTGCATCCTAGGTTAAGTGCTCTAACCCCAAGCCCCAGACCTAAAATTTATACATCTTACTACATACTTGGAGATGACACTCCCCAGCTTCCCTGAAGAACACCATCTTTTCCTTTGGGACACTCCCCCTGATACCTTAAGGTTCTCAAAGGGGCCTGTTACCTAACACATGTTGAGAAGCCCTAGACTGGAGGGCCTCTAGGGACTCCATGAGCCTGTGAATACATGACTAGTGTCACACTGAGCAATGCAGCCCCTGGAACTGCAGTGGCTGCACTCCCCTGTGCCTCCTACAAAGCCCTTCCTTGTACTCAAGGTGTCTTAAGAAGATCAAAGTACGATGAACTCTGCAGAGAGGGAGGGAGTGTGGGATCCGCAGGACCTCTGGTAGAGATTGGAAACAGATGACTGACACTTCTTCATACCAGGACAAAAGGAGTAGGCGTTGTGCTGACTGCTGGCCTAACGCAGTTTATGCAGGGTGAGAAAAGGGAAAGACTCTGAGACAGAGAGAGGGAGGAGCAACGCAGAAGGGTGATGCTGGTCTCCTGTGTTCACGCTTGGCTACCTCACAAGCTTGCAAAGAAGCAGAGTTAGAGTGAAAGAAGGCCTGTTCAGTTGCCAAGGCTTAGAAGCCATCCCTGCCAACTGTGTCCACGCTCCTTCCTAGAGGAAGCCACAGCCAATAGTCTTCTTGCTGGCCATTCTACCAAACACTGTCCATCCCTTTGGAGGCACATTTCTATAGCAAGCGTGGCAAGTACTTGCAGTCCCATTAGCCAGGAGCATGCCTGTTTATTCAGTGTATGTTTGAAGAAAGTTTGACAGTGTGAAACTCACCACAGGGTGTGAGAAAACCTTCCCTTCAGAACAGTGTCATTCCTAGGTGCTACCACCAGAGAAGCTCTAAGTGTGGACAAATAAAGCCCCCCAAATTATCTTTAAACATAAATTAACAAAAATGCTACAAATTGTTCTGTACTTTATTTTGGATTCTGCACAAATCTTGGACATTTTCCCCAACACCCCCAACCCCCTTGGCCTGTGTAGCTAGCCTGGACTCAAACAGTATACAGCCAAGGCTGGTCTTGAACTTCCTTACATTCCTAAGTGTTGGGGTTACAGGTATGTACCACCAAGTCCAGCTAGGCTCTTTCTTCTGTCAGAAAGGTGTTCCAGTATATGAATTACAACACAAATTTCTTGGGCAATTCTTTGATGAACAGCCCATCCTTTTACTATTATGGGCAGGCATGCTGTGAGCACCCCTTGCCCCATTAATCTTCCCACAGGGTAAGCGCCTGGTTCATACATTTTGCAGAGAAATGAAATGGCTGGGCTTCTCAGGGTCCAAATCAGGCAGGGCTATGGCAGGAATGCAAATCGGAAGGAAAGCCCAACCCCATCACTGCCTCACTGTGTGACATAAAACCCTGTTAGTGATGCCAAGTAGGACTACTGCTGAATTCAGAGTCTCGAGGAAGAATGAGATCACACCTGCTTTCACACACAGACAGCGTCATCCCAACCAGCGTGACTTTTGGTCTTGAAGGTCCTTCTCTTCCAAGCTGTTACAGATGGGTCTGTCACTCATCTCACGAGGCATGTGCTGTGTCGTAGTTTTTTTCATTTCATGCACACACAGTCAACCCAGAGAGGCTGAGTGAGTTTCAGAAGGCCAAGGACTGTCACCTGTATCTGCCACCACACCGTCTCTCTCAGACGGTAAGAACCAGTCCCGTCCACCACCCCTCACCTCCTGGTGGGAACTGCCTCAGTGTTTCCTTTTCTGCTCCTCAGATGTGCTGCGCTTTGACAACACCTACAGCTTCATCCACGCCAAGAAGGTCAGCTTCACTGTGGAGGTCCTGCTTCCAGACAAAGCAGCGGAGGAGAAGATGAACCAGCAGGGGGCAGTCACCCCCAAATAACAGCTCCTCCTGCAGCAGGCCTGCGCCTCAGTGTCTTCCTGTCAGTTTCTTTGTAGTAGTCACTTTCCTACAACCTAGTAGCCCGAAGAAACTGAGCTGGAGGGAGGACTTCAAACTGGACAGGAGACGCCCATCCAGAATCCAAAGAGCGCAGGCGGCTAGCGTGGGCCCTTGTCTCTAGAGACCGGCTGTAACCATGTCTACCCCGAGACCTGCCAACCTCACCTGCCCCGTGACAGCTGAGACGGGGGGTGGGGGGGTGGGACACAGGATGGCAGCAGAAATTGAGATGTCACTCTCAGGGAAGCAGACACTTGCTCCTAAATGAACGTGGAACAAACCTCCACGGTCGTAATGACGGTTGCAAGGGAGCAGGCTGGTAGGTGATGGGAATCCAGAGCTCTTCCAAACTTTTTGTAAAAGGCTTGAGTATCTCCCCGCCCCTCAATCTCGGGGGCGGCACAAGTCTGCACTGGAAGGCAACGGGGGTCTCTCTCTCTCCCCCTTGAGAACCTCACCAACTCCTGGGCCCCACTGGCTGCCTGTTTAATTACTAACGGTTGCCAGCGACCCCGAGTTTTGTGGGACTTTGGTACCTAGCCACTGTTGTCCAGTGAAAAGGAGAAGCCTTCCAAAAGCACAAGGGTAATGAATTACCTTCGGGGATCACAGATCCTCTAAGCAAGCCTCCACTTGATCAACCCTACACCAAGGGTACAAGTGGGAGTGAGACAGCGCACAGAGGGCATTTCCCAGGCGGAGTCTCCCACAGTGCCTGAGAACCCGTCTCCTGGCAGGCCCTCTTCTGCGGAGGCGTGTAACGCAGCAGTGGGCTCCTCGTCCTGTGAATGCAGGCAGCCAGGGAGGGAAAGTGGCCTGGCAAGCATCTGAGTCAGGGGCAAGGGGCGAGCACAGGCGGCCTTGCAATAGCAGCTCTTGACCCTACACAACTTGCGAGCAAACGCCAGGTTACGGAACTGGGCCCCGGGCCCTTCCGGGGACCCCCTTTCTCCTCGGAGACCCCAGCCCAGCCTGAGGACTTGTTTCACCAAGCAGAGGAAGCTCTGGGCAGGTGCAGCGCCAGCGACCAGAGGGCCGAGGCTACCCAGGATCTAGTCACGTATCTCAGGAGCATTTCCTGCCCGTGGTTTACAATGCTGTTAGGTACATTAACCAATGAATAAAGCAATTTTCAAAGCAAAGGGAGTAGAATTCACTGCCCATCGCCGACTTCCTAGCGCCCTCTTAACACCAGGTCCAAACTTCAACTTCTCGGTAGCCAAGTAACCGACTCCTGCTAAAATAACGCACAGACTTCGGCGTTCTGTTCCTCTCCTCTCGCGTGAACTTTCCCCGAAGTCCTGTCTTATGATTGGTTCAGTCGATGAGCGTCATCCACCATCTTTGTTCATGGCATGAAGATGCTCCCGACAGCCTTCACGGTGAGGGCGGAGACCCCGCCCTATTCGGTGGTTCCTGACGTGCCGGGTGCAACGACCCGCACGGGGCGCCGAGCGTGTGTTGCGTCTGCAACGGGTGTAACTGTGAGGAAGGCTGGGGACTCGCGTCACGTGGTTTTAGGGACCGTCTCCCAATTCCGCTCCAGCACTACCGGGCCTGCACACCGATCTGCCCTTTGCACACCGATCTGCCCTTTGCACCCGTGCCTGGCCCCGGCCCCACTGACCCTCAAGAGCCTGTGAGGACACAGGCTGAAAACGGTGCCCTTCATAGGAAGTCAGCCTTTCAGACCTTAGTCACTGGCAAAAAAGCTAAAAGAACTGCACAGAAACCCTGTTCTTAGCCGCCTGGAATTGTAAAAATGTTTGAAGATTTTAGACAAATTTTATTGGCATCCACGTGTACGTGTGGGTCTCTGTGTGGGTGTGTACCACGCGTGTGCAGGTCAGAAGCGTCAGATGCCCTGAAGGTGGTGTTACAGGTGGTTGTGAGCCGTCTACGTAGGCGCTGGGGACTATGAGCCCTCTGGAAGAGGGGTAAGCGCTGTTAGCCACTGAACATCTCTTTTGTCTAGCTGACGTGGGCACTGGGATTTGGAGAGGAGGTGGCTAATATCTACAAGGTGACACAAGTGTCTCCGGGGCCACACCATTGCCGCTCTGGTATCTCAGAGTGCCTTTCCCCTGCAGGGGAAGGGCTCACCTCATAAGTAACTCCGACTCTCTCCTTTTTAGTCTGCTCATTTCCCTGGAGTTTTGTATGTCAAACCCTGACTCCTCATTAGATTGTTCATTCATTTGACTTCTGGCCCCCAGGAAGATCCAGTTAGCTCAGAGTGTGTCATAGATAAACATGCTGCCGCAGAGCAGGGACTGAGGGTCTGGGCCCCCTCCTCTCTAGAGCGTTCGCCACCGTCTGTAAACACCTAGCCTAGATTCACCTGACAGTTGTGAGTCACGACCTTCCTCTATTTCCCCTCTGTAAAATAGGGCCCGGTGGCAGTGCACGAGCTTAAGAAAGCAAATCCGCGTTGACTGAAACGAATTAGTCCTCGTGTTTAAGGTAATGAGTGCTGGCATGCCTCGCATTTACACACGAACTCAGGCCCACAGAAATACAGCGTTGCTACAAGCCGCACACCTAAGAAGATGCCATCTACCGATTGAATCCCTGACCTGTTTAGCTCCAAAAACTAACGATGTCTGCGAGAGCTTTGCATTAACTGCTCGGAGAAAACACAACTATCTGCAAGATGCAAGCCTAGGAGAGGGGCGTGGGTGTACAAGGCAATTTTCAGACACTCCCTGCAGTGGCGATAGACCGACCTGTCCTTCAGCCTCGGACTTCTGGCGGGTCCTTGCCCAGTGTAAGCAGCGTGCTAGTGGAAACGGAAGTGGTCCTGAGGCTCTCTCTCGCAGTGACTGGGACCGTGCTGGGGAAGTCATGTCGGAGCAGCAGCGGCAGGACTCCGAGCGCGACCTCTACCGGGACACGTGGGTGCGCTACCTGGGTGAGCGTGGGAGTGAGATCCGCAGCGACCCCACCACTCTGGGAAGGTGGTTGTGGGATGTGCGGATCTGTAGTCTAAAAGGAAAGAGTTTAGTTCTTATTCGGCTTCGGCAGGAGACTGGGTTCAGGAGAGGACTCGGGACTTGTCCAAGGTCACACAACACCCTGTTCACGGGACTCTGCTGGGGGCACAAGCGGAACGGGTGGGTTGCCATCTGCCACGACCGCGCACTAGCCGTGGGGTTAGAAAGGATCTAGAGTCCTACCGCCTGCTATTACCTGGCTCTTCCTGAGCCTCAGTTTCCTCTTCTGCAAAAAGGGCTGAACACGAGGCACTCTTGAAGGGAGATTTAAGAGCGGACTGAGGTAGAGCCCTGGAAGGCTTTGATATTTAGTGAAGCCCACGCTCAAATCATTCGCTGGCCACCCGGTTGCCTCATTGGTGCAGATCCCCATAACCACAGCTGGGGACTCTGACCAATGAGCGTCAGTCCACAGCTCAGAAACCAAAGGTAAAGTCACTTGACCGAGGTCACCTGCCCCACTGTAGTTCAGCAGTCTAGTATTAGAAGCGCCCCCTTGTGGAACGGCCCGCGGGCCAGGTAATTAAATGTCTTTTCCCTCCAGGCTATGCTAATGAAGTGGGGGAGGCTTTCCGCTCCATGGTGCCTGCAGCTGTGGTGTGGCTGAGCTATGGCGTGTCTAGCTCCTACGTGCTGGCTGATGCCCTAGACAAAGGCAAGAAGGCAGGAGAGGTGAGAGTTAGTTTACCCTTCCAACCCCATCCTGGTGTGGATCAGTGTGCAGCCTTGCATGTGGGGCAGTACTATCCGCATTAGCATCGTGAAGTCCATAAGCTAACCCTGTTAGTAGGACAGTTCATCCTCTGGCCGAGCAAGCCACGTGGGTTGGAAGTGGCATTCGGCACTTCTGAATGTAGACAAGTCACCCCCACCCCTGAATGTTCAGCCCAGACGCCTCTCTCTCAGCTTCCCTCTGCCTCCTCCCTCCTCCCTGGTCCACAGGTTTCCTGCTTCTGCTCCAACTGGGTTAAATGTCTTTGTCCCTACCAGGCGCCAAGCCCTGAAGCAGGCCGCAGCACCAGAGTGGCCCTGGCCGTGGTAGACACCTTTGTGTGGCAATCTCTGGCCTCCGTAGCCATCCCGGGGTTCACTATCAACCGTCTGTGTGCTGCCTCCCTCTACGCCCTGGGTACTATGACCCGCTGGCCCCTGACTGTCCGCAAATGGACCACCACCACACTCGGGCTGCTGGCCATCCCCGTCATCATCCACCCCATAGACAGGTAGGTGCCCTTCTGGCCTCAGGGTGGAGTTGGGCTTTGAGAGCTGTGAGCCCAAGCTACAGCCGCAGAGGCGAGGGTCCGCACCGGTCCCCCAGGCGTGGCTGGACCCAGGCATCAGAGTGGTGCTGGCAGGGAGCTCCTGACCTCCAGCTTTTCTCCTTGTTGGTCTCATTCACTCTCCTGCCATGTCCCTCAGCGACCCCCCCCAACATGTCCATCGTGATAGCAAAAATCCCAAGGAAGATTTTCATTGGCTTATTCAGGGTACCCATGTCTGAGCCACTGTCCTGATTAGTCAACCCTGGGTCATGTGCTTGCTCTTAGAACTAAGAGGTAGGACTGGGCTGGAGAGTCGGCTCAGCAGTTAAGAGTGCTGGCTGCTCTTCCAGAGGACCTGAGTTCAGTGCTGGGTCACAACCATCTATAATAGGATCCGATGCCCCCTTCTGGCATGCAGGTATATATGCAAATAGGATACTTACATACATAAAAAAATGCAGAAATACATTTAAAAGTCTTAAAAAGAACTAGAGACAAGTATCAATCAAAATAGACCAATGTGTTGTCTGAAGAGGGGTCTGTGTGCATAACCAATCCTGAGCCTCACAGTGAGTGCTTTAGCCACTGTGCCTCAGTTTACCCAACTGTAGAAAGAAAAGGAAGATGGTTGTTATTCTCAGGAGTTAAGTTTGACTTTCCCAAGTAGTCCAAGTGGGAGGAGAATTATAAAGTGGGTTCTACCTGGTTGCTGTTGGCACCCTGTATCTCGGAGTCTTTCCCTGTAGTCTAGTGTTTCCCTCACCCTTGGCTGCCTGCTCACCATGCCTTCTCTCCCTGTAGGTCAGTAGACTTCCTCCTGGATTCCAGCCTGCGCAAACTGTACCCATCAGTGGGGAAGCCCAGCTCCTCCTGATCCTTCCCTGTGCCCAGCCTGGCCGGCCCGCTCATCAGAGAATGTAGATGCTTGGCTGTTTGGGGTCCATGACACTGGCATCGGAGTGGGTTCAAACTGATGGACGCTTAGTGACAAAGGCCTTGAGGAGTGGTGGCTGCAGCGAGTCCCAGAGGTGGGACCCGACCCTGTCTGCATTAATGGCAGTGGTTGTGCTGAGTGGGAGTGAACGCTGGCTGGCCATGTTTTCAGAAAAAATCTTTAAGTATTTTATTTTATGTGCGTAAGTGTTTCACCTGCATGCACGTATGTTTGTGCACCACCCTTGGAGGTTTAAAGAGGCCATTGGAACCCCTGAAACTGGGGTTAGGGATGGCTGTGAGCCACCACGTGGGTGCTGAGAACTGAGCTGAACCTGGTTTCTCTGTAAGAGCAGCCAGCGTTTCTAACCACCAAGGTACCTCTCAGCCTCTGGGCCTGTCCTCTGATGGAAAAGTTATACCTTCCCACACTGAAGCCCAGAGAGGGCAAGGGGTACGCCTAAGGTCATGTGACAAGCCGAGGACCAGGCTGTTCGACTGCTCTAAGTCACTTTGTGAAAATGTGGCTGAGTGACTTAGGGAAAAGCACAGAGGTGCAGCATTTGGGACACTCAGGACAGAGCCTCTGGCCAGCCCATCCCTGCTGCGGGAGGCAGGACAATCACACACCCAAGTGCTACCCAATAAACCCTTAAAAAATGGTATCTTCTTTCCTTCGTGGGGGAAAGCAGGGTTGCAACCACACCAGCAACCCTTCTTCTGGAGCGGGTAAACCGAGGGAGAAGTCAGCTGCTTTCCTGCCTCTATGGGAAGGGGCGTGGGGAGAATAAAGGAGGGATGTCCCCAAGCCTACTCAAGAGGAATAGCAGATCCAAGAAACCAAAGAGGGAGGGAGGGCGGGAGAGAGGGAGGGAGGGAGGGAGAGAGAGGGGGAGGGAGGGAGGGAGGGTCTGAAATGAAGATTAAGGTGGGGAGAAATGGGAGGGTGTTTTGTGTTGAAAGGTGGTGTGGTATCGTCCAGTTGGTCTGTGGTAGGTGTCTGGACTGTATTCTAGACCTTGTAAGAAGTGATTGGAAAATTTGGAGAAGATGTGGAGGAAGAGAAACCCATGTCCTCCACTGGTGAATGCAAACTAGTGTAGCCATTACGGAAGTCAGTGTGGAGGCTCCTCAAACAATGGAAACTAGAATGACTGTGACCCAGCCATACCACTCCTGGGTTTATGCCCAAAGAGCTCTGTACACTCAGAGACACTTGTACATCCCTGTTCATTGCCACTGTACTCACAATAGCGAGGACATGGAACCAGTCCGCCAACAGACGAATGGATAATAAAGATGTAGCACATAATGACCTTTTACTTAGCTATAACAATGAAATGGAACTTTAAGGAAAATGGATGGAGGAGCATGTCTGAGTCTTACCTGTGACTGTTTATGCTGTGAGGCCTATGCTAGGTCACTTGCCTTCTCTGATCCTTAGAATTTAGATCTGGAAATGACAGCCATGCTGTCTACCCTCCTCCTGGCTAGGGGGAAGGCCAGAGCAGTATGTTGCTGGTCAGTGTTTAACCACCGGCTTCTTTAGGATAGAAGTCTCCATTGTTCATTTCCGTGGCGAAAATGCACCCATTATGCCCCCCCCCTCCAGTGAAGCCCTTGAACACAGCTGGGAACAGCATCACACTTCATAGGTGACGGCCAGAGCATTTCCTTTGAAGGGTGCCTCAAACCACAGATGCCATCAGCCCCTCTGTACGGTGTCTTACCCGGCACTTGCATGTCTGCGATCAGGTTTAATTTGTAAATTAGGAACAAGAAGGACTAACTATAGTAACTGTGTCCTGAAAGTCACCCCTGGTGGGGGTACTAGGCAGCATCTACTCATCCCGAGAGATCCCAGTGACAAACCAAAGTTTGTTTCCACCGAGGTTCACCCTGGGGAGCCAACGAGTTCATTAGGCTGACTTACAGAGCATGGGTGACCCTCAAGCTGCCACACAGAAAGGCCAGCACCCAGTATGGATAAAGGCTTCCCATGGCTGTATAGATAAAGCCCCCTCCCTGAGGACTTGTGCACTTAGAACTTCACACACCTGGCTGAGAGGAGTAGCTGGAAAATGTGTATAGGAATCATAGCAGTCACCTCCTGCACTTGCAACCTGAGGAACTCTGACCTTCAGTGACTTCTAGAAGCCTCTAAATACAGCTGTTGATGGGGCAGGTCTGTTCCTCCTTGGCCTCTGAGAACCTGGCTCTCTGGTACTCCAATGGTCTGGAAAAGACCCCAGGGAGCCTGCTCCTGTATCAAGGAATGGCCACTCTTTTTTTATTTGGTGTGACCAGTGATCCCGAGATGATGGAAAGTCAGATTCAAGCCATCGTAATGCCACCTTATATAAGGGACTTATGTGTCCTCCAATTTTAATAACAGTGATGGCATTGTCTTGAAGATGATCCTCTGTGGCTACTAAGGGGTGGCTCTACTGGGTTTCTACCTAGGTGACCTAAAGTCTCAATTTCTTCATCTGTGAAGTGATCTACCTGCGGCTGCAGCAGAGGACTTTAGGAAAGGGTTATTAGGAGGGTTAAACAGAACAATAGACGCCCCAGGCAGGCAGTAAAGACAAGCATCTCCTAACAGAAGAGTGGGCAGCACTTGGTTACTCTCCTTGAGTGTAAGGAGGCCCAAAGAATTACATGTCTTCCAAACTCTTGGGTTTACAAACTTGAGCCAGGCATGATGGCTCAAGGCTTTAATCCCTCACACGGGAGGCAGAGGCAGATGGATCTCTGATTTCTAGGCCAACCTGGTCTACAGAGTGAAAAAAAGGAGAAAATAAATTTGAAACTTATAATTAGCTTGCTTTGGTTTCCAGAGCCCCTCTCCTGCCTTACCAATAGTCATGGGAATCCAAAGGCCCCTGATAATCCAGACTTGGTTACAGTTTGCCTCCCTACAATGAGGTTGCCTCCCTGGCAGAACTAGGCTGTGAGGACCCAGGTCAGGGTCTTGGTGGCACCTGACTTGTAGCTTCAGGCAGAGCCAAGGAGAGGAGATAAGGTCTGCCTCAGACCCTGGCTGCCATCTCAGCACTTTTGAGGTATTTGCTGCCAAAGATTGGCTGGGGAATCACCTCATGACCCAGAAAACATATGGCAAGCGAGCCCTTCCCTTATCCCAGGAGTTGCTTGGCAAGAGTTTGGTGACCACTCTTTCTCTCCAGGATTTTTTTTTTTGAGATGGGTTTATCTGCATAGCCTTTACTGTCCTGGAATGTGCTGTGTAGACCAGGGTGGTTTGCAATTCACAGAGATCCACCTGTCTCTGCCTCCCGAGTGCTGGGATTAAAGGTGTGCACTACCACTGCCCAGCTCTCTCTGCAAGACTCTTAAGTTCTTCTCATGGCAGGATCTTTGTTTGATTCAGGGTAGTCTATTGGACTCCTTAAGGCTCACATGGAATATGCCCAAAGGGGTTATTAGTACAGCAGGAAGAGGGTAAGGTCCACCCCAAAGGAGGCTAGCAGGGCCTATGATGGACCCCAGGGAACTTCAGGAGAGAGTGATGGCGGGAGGCTGCGGTGAGTATGTATGGTCAGTCAGCCCCCAGGCCTTATGGCTTCTGTTCTAGAACATCCTGGCAGTTTGGTTCCCTGGCAAGCCCTGGCTAGTTTTAGGGAATCCTCAAAATCTCCAACAGCGGGCAGCATGCCTTAACATGCCCTTGTTGGCTGGTCAAACTGGGTCATTGATAACATCGTGAAATGTTCCTAGTGGCCAGAGTGCCAGCGCTTCACGTGGTAAGGCTCTTGTAGGATTTTGCCACGTAGTCCAGGATGGTCTGGGACTTATTTTGTAATCCAGACTGGTCTCAGACTTGCTATCTTCATGTCTCAGCCACACTGTATTCTTTGGGTGAACTTATTCCTTCTTTCTTCCACCCTCTCTCCTCAATTCTTTTTGTCCTTCTCACTTCTTTTTAAAAATGCTTTTGCTTGTGAGCTCATAGGTGCAATGTTGATAGAGGCCAGAAGAGGGCGGTGGATCCCCTGGATCTAAAGTAACAGGTGTTTGTGAGCTGGGAAATCAGGAAGTGCTCTCAACCTCTGAGCCATCTCTCTAGCCCCCCTCACACTTCTTTCCCTCGTTCTTTTATTATAGACTAGCCAGGTAGAATACAGGATGATGTGTAGATAGGGATGTTTGGAAAAGCAATATATAAAAAGGAAAAGCTACATGAAAACTACTGATTTGGGCTGGAGAGATGGCTCAGAGGTTAAGAGCACTGGCTGCTCTTCCAGAGAGAGGTCCTGAGTTCAATTCCCAGCAACCACATGGTGGCTCACAACCATCTGTAATGAGATCTTGTGCCCTCTTCTGGCGTGTGGGCATACATGCAGACAGAACACTGTATACATAATAAATAAAGACATCTTTTTTAAAAAGAAAACTACTGTTTTACAAACTCGATAAAAATACATTTATTTTAAATTTCCATTAACAGTATCTTATACAGAACATTTCTCCCAGAAACCATAGATAATTAAACAAAAAGCCAATGTCGGCTGTGGGACACCTTTTGTCATGGTGTTGATGTGGGGTCCACAGACACCCCCCAAACAATAAGACTATTGCCATCACTCTTGGTTACCCAGGCCTTACTAGAATAAGTAAGACTTCAACTACAGCTACTGAAGACACCACACACTTTGATCACAGGACATGGAGAAAACAAGCTGGTAATGACCTGAAACATCTCCCTGATGGCTAGATGTCACAGAGCCAGGAGGTGCTGTGCAGGCTGATGGGGGAGAAAAGCCATGAGGATTCTCACCCAGATGTGAACCCTGTAGGCTGCAATAATGGCCAGCCTGGGAAGATATGGCCACTGGTGCAATGATGGCATAGATCTCATTGGGGTAACCGACTGTTCTAATTGAAATTAAGGTCTAGAGCTCTGCAGGAGGAAACTCATGCCTGGTACTGTAAACCTGGCCAAGAGGTCATAGAACCTACTGCTATTATTTTGCTAATGGAATATAGTCTCACAATACCTTTTAAATACTTAACTTTTACCCATATGCAACTCTCACTTGCATCAGAGAAACTCTTTACACAGCACATGCTGGTTAGTGCAGAGACTCAAAGTGATCAAAGTGCAGAGTAAGTGGAGTACTCAAGCCCTGGGTGGGACATTTGTGTCACTCCCTACAATGCAAGGCACAGGAAGTTTTTAAGAGCCAGAGGCTGGGGAAGAGTGGAATGATGTCTTCTAGGTATGATAGGGCCAATACACTCAAACTCACAGTAGCTATGGTTGCCAGCACACCATCAAATCAGACAGTACTCCAGTATATAAAGGGACGGGGCCCCAGAGGCCCTGCCACTGAGCTGAGGAGCCATTGGTAGTTGGTGGCCTCTGGAAGAGTCTATCTTCTTCGACAATGAGTTGCCCGTGCTACAGTGGCTGGTGCCCTGTATCCATGAGTATTGTGCATATGGGTGGCATTAATTGGACTCAGTGGTTAGGAAAGCAAAAGAAGACATGAAGTTGTGAAGACGTGGGGGATTCTGGGAGCAGTTGGAATGGGAGAAGGAGGGGGTGAATATGATCTGAACACATTGTGAAATTGCCAAGGAACAAGTAAATATTTTTGAAAAGATTTGGGATGTTCAGTTAGACTTCAATGTTAGATATTGAATACATTTAAGTACCATCCAATACAACCCTTTTGTTCTTTCAGGGTTTGACAGCTTTCTCTTCCTCACCTTCCTGCCCTCTTTTGCGGTTCCGGTTGCTGTCCCCTCCCCTGCCTACTCGGGAAGGAGGGGCAGTCTTTGGAAAGATGATCAAGCAAAGTGGGCACATTGGCTCTGATCCAACTCTACCTCCACAGCCTGAAGAAATGGATCCAGTGCTGTTGGAAACTCAGTTCCTATCCTGGCTGGTTTGTGTCAGCATGACATAAGCTAGAGTCATCGGAGAGGAGGGAGCCTCCATTGAGGCTGTAAGGCATTTTCTCAATTAGTGATCAGTTGGGGAAGGCTCAGCTCACTGCGGGTGGTGCTGTCCCTGGGCTGGTGGCCCTGGATTCTATAAGAAAGCAGGTTGAGCAAGCCTGGGAAGCAAGTCAGTAAGCAGCTCCCATCCATGGCCTCTGCATCAGCTCCTGCCTCCAGGATCCTGCCTTGTGTAAGTTCCTGTTCTCATTACTTTTGATGAATAACTGTTACATGAAACTGTGAGCGAAAGAAACCCTTTCCTCCCCAAGCTGCTTTTGGTCATGGTGTTTCATCACAGCAATAGAAGCCCTAAGACAGTTCCCATCTATAAGACGGGCATGAGAGCCTATGCCCTTAAGTGTGTGCATGACGCTGCTCCCCTCCACAGAATAACATTAGCTTGGTGAGAGTCTGGCTTCACACTTAGCTTTTAGCTCATTCCCAAGGTGCAGCTCATGGCACCAGTAGGGATCTTGGGTTCTGGTCCATTCTCATTCTTGGACTAATCATCTCTTGGCATGAGTTGTGTCAGGAACCGGGGACTCAAGCCAGTGTCTATGTACCTTGCGTGGGGCAGGAAGTTGAAAAAGAAACTGGAAGCCGGGTTCCAGTTCCCCAGGGGTGTGGTAAGCATCAGGTGGTCATCCCTACAGACACAGCACGAGCAGAGGGCAGAACACCAGGCACAGGAGTACAAGCCCCTTCCAGGCCTCTCTGAGGCTCCTTGAACAACCTGCTTAAGCTGTACAACTGGGGTGATTACCTCTTCCATCTATAAAAAGGGACTGGAGAGGTGGGGATACCCAGCACACTCTTCTGAAGGATGCAGGACAATCAAACTATTCCTTACCTCCTTGTCAAAGCAAGGTCTTTTTTTTGGGTGGGTGGGGGGGTATCATGGTGCAATTTAGAGCAATGCCTTCTGAATAAATAAGGAACAAAAAACTCAGCTCCTAGATCTGTCGCTTAAAACCATATGGCCTGAGTGGCTAGTTTAGCCTCTCTGAGCCTCTCTGAGAGGTGTATTGGGGTGGTGTGAAGTGACACGAGCTAAACTTGTAAAGTACCTGGAATAGTGACAAGCCTCTCCAAACAACAGCTGTCGTTGCTTTGCCCAACAGCAGCCCGAGTAGGATGTGACTGCTTTTGCAGTTGGGGAAAATTATTTTAATCGCTTAAAATGTGAGCTCAAAAGGAAGAAGGTGTTTATAAGAATAATGGGTGGAACCCATGACCCTGAATAGGTGCCTCCTGCCAGAGGCATGGAGCTTTTGTGTCTGAAACTCCCAAAAGGAAACCACTGTGAGGTTGCATGGCCTGGGTCTTCGCCAAGTGTGTCTCTGTCCGGGGTGCTGAAATCTACTGTCTGCTCTCTTCCTCACACTCCTGGGAGTCACCTGCCTTCTGGCGCTCTGTTTAACTTTCAGGAACACACGAAGCATCTACTATGTGGTGAGTGGAAGTAAAAAGGACTCGGATATTCTTTATCTTAAGTTGTTCACAGAGAGGGAGTCGGGCACAAATGTCTTAGGATAGATAAGGTCAGCCAATCATTTTCCTATTCTTGGACCTCAGTGACATTCATTTCTTATCTTCCTTCTTGCTTCTTTCTCTTTTGCAACCTTTATGTCCTCCAACCTCTTTCATGCTTTTACAATTTGATTACAGCAGACAGATCTTCTCCACTCTCTCTTTCTCTTCTCACTGGTGTCACACAGTCAGTTGGACTAATGATCAATTTTAGGAATGAAAGGGACAGTAGAAAGAAAGCAGAGGTTTGGGGGTGCCTGGAAATTAGGGGATTCGCCTAGACAGGGGTGAGCTCCTCATCGTATTTCTGCATGCCCTCGTCTGGGAGAAGCACTTCAACCGTGAAGCTGACCTTCTTGGCGTGGACGAAGCTATAGGTGTTGTCAAAGCGCAGGACATCTAGGAGACAAATGGAATATTAGTTCCCTCGGGCTGTGCTCACCAAACTGGTACAACTTCCCACTGTGCCTTTTACTACTGTGGGATCTGTCACCCTGAGCAGAGCCTGCAAACTGACACTACCTCCTCCTGGTGTTCACTCAACCCTGGCTTTAGTTGCATCATCAGAGAGTGAGGACAATGGGTGTTAATTACATCCCATTGTCTTCACATCTGCATGCTCACATGCTGAGACATATATTGAGAGAAACAGAGGCCTCCTAGCTCTCCTGGACAAAGTGGGGGCTAGGCAAAGCCTGAAGTAATTGTCTTAATCCTCAGACTATGTGGTACCCAACAAACAATCCTTCCCAGGCTGGGCAGCATTTTGCACTTTCGCAGCTACACTGAGGCTGTTAGGAGCTGAGATAACATGGCATTCAGCTGCGAGGCTGTGCATAAGGGGGCTTACTTCTCCCAGCCTCCTGGGGGAAAGCCCTGCTCTAGTGTCCTTTGCTTGTGTCCTGTGGCCCAACACTCTCAGTCCTCGGGGCTCATGTGCCTCTGACCCTTGTTGCACACTGGGTGTTCATGACTATGACTTGAGAATGAATGAAGGCTCTAACCTGGGCTATTCCTCTTGGTATGTGTCTGGGGAAAGGGGTCACTGCCTGTGTTCATCCTTTAAACCGTGCGGAAGGTGGCTCCTGTCTTCGGAGCCCATGCACAGCTGGGATGGACTTACAGACACCAGCCTCTGCGCAGGTGAGGCTCCCGTCCTCAGGCACCATGTGGGCGTTGTAGCGCTGACTGGGTAGCACCTCGGTCATCTCCCCGGCCTTCTGCCGCTCCCCCATCTTGGTCTTGAGGAACACTCCAAAGCCAATGTCCCCACCGTCAGAGGAGAACTGCCACCTGTGAGAGATTAGGCTGCTGCTCAGTGTGATGGGTCCCTGAGAGGTCAGAGCCCAGCCGGGGCGGAGTGATGGTCTGCCCCCCTTACCTGAGAACACAGCCTGGAAACAGGATCTCATATTCCACCTGGTGTGAGGAGCCACGGCTAATCTGCACCGAGTGCTCATATTGAGTTTTCACCTGGTCCCGCACGTACATGGACTTGGGGATCTCACCACCATAGTTGATCTATAACAGATTCTGAGGTCACTTTTATCATCACCAGGACATTTCTTCTCCCCTTCCCCAAACCCTTTCCTGGCTCTCCGGGCTGGGACAGCACTTCCCTTGGAAGCTTCTTTTTCCAGCTTATATCCAAATCGAAATTTCATTTCACCTTTGTCTGCATATCTTCTCAGGAGCTCCTAATAAACTGGACACCTGCCCCCCTGCCCCCCGGGCTCAATACCTGGTCTCTATTCTCAGGGGTCTATCTGAAGATGTTTGTGGAATGGATAGGCGGTGGGAAAGGAACCCATCTCTATTCCTCCAACCTCTTCCTGTCCTCAGGCTCTGTGTACCTTGGTCAAGCATTTGGGGTTTCCATCTGGGTCAGTCAGAGTCCCCCCAAAATGAGCAGGCAGTTCCTCAGGACTGATGAGTTTCAGCAAACCTTCTTTCCAGCTGTCTGGGAGTGGGGAGGTTGAATGGAGGTTACCAGGTGTGGAAGGGACCAAACAGCCCCCCGCACTTCCCAGGGTACCCTGAAGTTGGGTCTCCAAGCTCTGTGGGTGTTAGGCTGCCAGGAATAACTTTCAAGTCTCCTAGACCTCAGGCTATAGGAAATGGTTTTCCTAGCATCCAGTTGCTATGGAAACATGTTGGCCCTTGGCTGATGGGCTTGGGCATTCTTGAAGGTCTCCCAGTCATGGGTAGGAAAGCTGATAGTTGTTTCACTGTCTCAAGGCGACTTTAAAGCCCTATGAGCTCAGGACCTTGTTGAGATTACTCGGTAAGTCAGATCTTGTGGTGGTAGCAAGTCTGTCTAGAGAGACCCGTCCCTTTCATCACTACAACCATCAGATATAAGGCCCATTACTGTCATTCATATGTGATCCTCCAGGGGTTCTGGGTCTTGCTGTGGTCCTAGCCCTGTGGCTAACCTAAATTGACCCTTATGGCTGTGGAATATTCCTTCTCTCTGGTGGGAAATGGGAAATATCACAATGCCTGGAATGCTAGGACCAAATGTACTGAGCCTTGTGGGACACCGAGGGGAATAGACGGCATAGACTTGGGTTCACATTGAACCAGGATTTGACACCTCCTTACAACCTGGCTATCTTGTCATCCATCATAATGAAGCTGGGCAGAGGCAGGAGCTGGGGTATTGGGAAGAGAAGTGAGGAACATAAGACTCCTACTCCCATGTCTAGATCCTCGGTTCACATAGTCAGATGTCTGAACATTCTGCTAGGGAGGTGGGTTTTTCCTCCAAGCTCAGGCTCACTGGTTTGTGCTAGAGAATCTGTTTTATTCATTTTATCCGATTTACCTATCTGTCTGTCTGTCTGTTTATTATCTACTTATTTTACTGTACCATGGATGAACCTCAGGGCCTCCCATGTGTTGGGTAAATGCTTGGTGACTGAGCTACACCCACAGCCCACTTCTGCCACTTTAAAAAACAACTCTTGTCGGGGCAATGGCATACAATGGTAGTCTCATCACTCATGAGACTGAGGCAAGAGGATGGTGAATTTGAGGCCACTCTGTCTCAGAAAACAAAACAAAACGTAAAAAGTAAGTTGTGTTTCTTACTTACATACATGCAAAATTGAGAAAACAGGAAAATGCAAACAATACCTTTCAGAAGCATGATCTTCTGTTTGTATTTCCTTCTAAAATCTTTTTGTTTTGCATATATTTGTTTTACTATTTTTAAATACTCTTATTTATTTTGTGTGTGGAGAGGTCACATATCACAGCATACATGTGGAGGTCAGAGGATGACCTGTGGGAGTCAGTTTTCTCCTTCTACTGTGTGGGTTCCGGGTGACACTCAAGTCATCAACCAGGTGGCAGCTGAGTCATCATTCTGGTCCAGTACACTTAGTTTTAGAAAAACAAATTATGTTGTCCATATGGCTTGTGTGTAGGTGTACATGTGTGTGCACATGAACATGTAGTATGTGCTCCTTCGTGGAGGTCAAAGGATAACCTATGGCAGCATTCTTCAGGGCCTATCTACTTTTTTCATTGTTGCTGTTGGCTCTTTTTTTTCTTTCTTTTTCTTCCTTCCTTCCTTCCTTCCTTCCTTCCTTCCTTTCTTTCTTTTTTTTTTTTTAGATAAGGCTCTCATTGGCCTGGGATCACCAGTCAGGCTAGGCTTCTGGCCAGTGAACCCTAGGTCTCCACATCCTCAGTTCCGGGATTACAAACCTAGCACACTTACGTTTTTCTTTTCACCGTGAATTCTGAGGCTAGAACTTAGTTTGTCACACTTACTAGGGGGGACATCACTGACTGAGTCGTCCCCGCTCACCGTATGGCTTTCTGATCTGCTTCCATTTTTTCCCACTTGGCACTATTTCTTTTACCATTATTAAGCTGTAAATTTCTGGGTAGGATGGGGGACTCTTGTAATCAGTTAGAGGGAGGGGGATCGGGAGTTCAAGGTTCTCTTTGGCTGCTTAGTGAGTTTGAAGCCAGCCTGAACTACATAATACCCCACCTCAAAGAACAAAACAACAAAAAGCAATATCCACCCGCAGCATGGCTTCTGTGGCTGCCCAGAATTCACTGAGCAGATGCATCCTTCTGCATTTATCCAGACCCTTCGTGTCCGACTCCCTTCTTTGCTTTTCCTCCTCAGCCTGAGTAGCCATTAGAAACACTGGGGATTCGAGTGCAGAAAGGAAGCCAGGGCACTTAGAGCCCAGGTTGAGAAGCAACGGAGCAGAGACTTACAGGGGTGGGGAGCATGGAAGCCCTGCTCCTCACTCACCGAGGGCTAAGGCCGGGCATAGGCTTAGGAGATGACCTGTCTCTACATGGTGGGCCCCAGCTGGGGAAGAAGGAGCCCGTGACTGCAGGTTCATGCTGAGTGCTGCAAGGGGCCAAGGAGCAGCATCACTCTACAGCTTATATGTGAGGCACAAGGACAGGGCCCTGGGAACAACTCACTTCCCAGCACCACAATTTTCCTCCGTGTGTCCTCACTCAGGAATGGCTTCATGAGGTTGTATCCCACAGGGAACAGCTTGGTGGCTGGGAAGACACAAGAAGAATAATGGAGAAATCAAGTCACCGGGCCACATTTCCACAATGGACACAGCCCACTACAGAATCATGATGGACTTGGCCAGCCCAGACCCTGACCCATTAACCCAAGGAATAGCCAACTAACTATCATCCATCCATCAGCTGCCTACCCACCCTGCAAATTAGCCAGTCACCAGCCTCATCAGCCAGCCAATAAGGTAACCAGCCTTCCAAACTGACCAGTCTGCTAACAAATAATCACCAACTCACTGAAGTCAAACTCACCAAGTCAACCAAACAGAAAACCAGTTGGCCTGTTAACCAACCAGCTAGACAGACAGTCAGCTGCTCTCCTCAGCTACCAACCTTTCATACAAAGAGCCAGCTGACCATGCAAATTCAGCTGAAGAACAAACCAGCCAGCTAACCAACATGCCGGGTAGCCACCTGTAGTGGCATCTTGTTCCGCCAGTGGACTTGGGGTTGTGGCCACATCTTAGGGCATGGCTTCAGGTGTGCAAACCTGATATCTTATAAGGAAGAGGAGGGACTGGCTCTCTCTCCCTTGGGTGGTGGTTGGAGTATCCTGAAGGGCAGAGGTTGCATCTCCAGGAGCAGGAAGACCACGGTGGTTATTTACCATCATTGTGTAAATATTTAGACAAATATTTAGACAAAAAGTAGACTTGGGGTGGTGGCCACACCTGAAGCCACTCCCTAAGGTGTGACCACTACAACCACCCAAACACCCAGTCGCCAAAATGCTAGTCAGATATTCAATCAACCAAGCTCAAAGCCAGTCAATCAGTCAGCCAGCCCAGTTAACTCTCTAACTCATCACTAGTTACTTGGCTAGTCAGACAACCAACTAACCAATCAACTGGACAACTAGCCAAGCAATGAGTTAACCAACTACCAAACAAGCCGTCCTGTCCTTCTATCTATCCTCCTACCCGAGGAACAGCCACCCAAATGACTAGTGAGCACCCAGAATGGTGCCAGGCCTGGAACGTGCACCGCAGGCATGGGTTGAGAGTCTTCATGGAGCAGATAACTTGCTCAGAAAAACACAGTGAGTTGGGTGGTGGCGGTGCATGACTTCAGTCCTAGAACTCAGGAGGCACAGTCATGTGGATCTCTGTGAGTTTGAGGCCAGCCTGGTCTACAGAGTGAGTTTCAGGACAACCAGAGCTACACAGTCAGACCCTGTCTCAACAAACAAATACAGAATGACCCCCTCCAAAAGAAAAAGAGAAAGAAAGAAAACCCGAATGAATAGGAATATAGACATGGTGGTGCGGGCCTGCAATCTCATACTCTCCAAAAGCTGAGGCAGGAGGAACACAAGTACAAGGCCTTTGTGGGCTACGGAGTGAGTTCAAGGCCCGCCTGGGCAGCTTAGGGCCAAAGGCAGGCCAAGGAAGGAGAGATACTGATGGGTGGGAGAGGGGAAGGGGCATTTCCAGAGGAGCTGGTGAAGTCAATTGCTACCATTTCCTGAGCCCTTCCTCTGGGACAGAGCCAAGTGGTTGGCATGCAGTCAGCAAACAAACCTCTCCCAACAGCCCTGGGAGAAGGCTATGAGCCCATGAGCGTGGATGATAAGGGTATGGAGGCCCAGGCAGGGGAAATTACTTCACACTTACCTTTCACAATGAGCATGAACTTCAGGGTCTCTGGGTAATTCTCTTCAAGGAGGCCAAAGAACTGTGGAGCCAAGAAAGCCCCCTCAGAGCCTGTACTTTCTCCCCTTCCCCTCTTTTGTATCTCCTGCCTGGAGGTTTTAAGAGAGAAGTTTTCCTTTTTGGTATCACCTCCATTGATCTCTGAAGGGAGCCTTCTCACCTCAGACTGTTAGAACCAATGCTCATAGTAACCACATAAGCAGATGATAAATTGTGTGACTACACGCATGCCAGATGTTCAGTATGTGCCCAGCACTGTGCACATGCTTCAGAGACTCACTGAGCCTCCCCGTCCCACTGTCCTGGTTCTAGAGCTGAGGAACATGAAACATGGTGGGGGTGTAGGGCAAATGGGGGTGAGGGTGGGAGTGGGGTCACAGGAGGACTGGGCTGGGGGTGGGGGTAGGCTGGGCGTGCGGGTGGATGACTTGTCCAGGGCTCAGAGTAAGGGAGCGACAGGCTGGGGCTGTTCATGGAAACAGGCCCTGTGCTCTCTCAAGGTCTGCTCTGTGGACTTTCTAGCAGTCCTATTAAGGTTTCCTTTGGGGGTGGGGGCCAGGAAGGAAACCACCTTGTATTAATTTGTGTTCTAAGTGAACTGCAAGTTCAAAGCAGACCAAGTTTGTCACCCAAGCGTGCGTGCGTGCGTGCGTGCGTGCGTGCGTGTGTGTGTGTGTGTGTGTGTGTGTGTGTGTGTGTGTGTGTCTACCCCAGGCCTCCTTACCTCCTGGTACACTTCCACCAGAGGTTTCCAGAAGTGCTTCAGTCCCAGACCCTCGCAGTCAAATATCATCACAATGGTTTCTATCTTCCTCCCCAGCTGTGAGGATAAGGAAGGGGCAGCACCAGGGTCAAAGTATAGGCTTGAGAGTTGGTGGCCCAAGTACATGACCTCCCAGGATGCTTCCAAACCTCAACTCTGTCCTCAGAGTAGCAAGTGGCCAAGAATAAACACATCTCCCCACTCGTCCATCTATTGTCACCCACCCACTCATCCAATCACTCACCCACCCATTCATCCATCCATCCATCCACCCCCACCCCCACTCCCCAACCCTCATCAGTCCGCCCACCCATCCTCCATGCATTCATGCATCCATCCAACCCTCATCAGTCCACCCATCCATCCACCCACCCATCCATTCGCTGACAATAGCTGGATTCAATGCTTTTTAAAAATCTCATGATGGTGTGAAGCAACACAAATTCAGTCAAACCCTTAGTCTGAATGTTGAATTTTGATTTATTTCTGTGCTAGCAATATTCAGGATAATGCTGTCCTCCAGTGTCCAACTGTAGGTTAATGAAAGTACTCTGCACATGTTTGGGACAGCAGACTAAGCTATGATACTGACTGGTTAGGCATTTTAGACGTATCTCCAGCCAACGGTATTTTAAACTTAGAGTGGGTTTATTAAGAAGGAACCCCTCATAAGCTGGGGAGCATCCTCACTGTCATCATCTCTGCTCTTTACTCTTTGCAGTCTGTCCTGCCAAGGGTGAGGAGACAGGCTCAGAGAGGCCAGAAACTTTCAGTTCACACAACTGATGAGCAGTGAAGCTATTTGAACTGGGGTGTTCTTGGGACTGTGGTCCTCTGGCAGCCTCTCCTGCTTCCAGTCACCCTCTCCATCCAGTTAGAGCCTCACCCTCTCTGTCTGCAGGTCACACTCATGCAGAATGCGCTCACAGTCCCTCATCTTGGTCTTCAACAGGTCCTGCTTGGTAACTGAGAAAAGCAACCCTTTGGGGTCCAGTGGCCCGATGATGTCATACCATACAGGGCAGCCATCACGGTCATAGCCACACAGGCCTCCAGGCATGTATTTCTGGATCACCTGGGCATGGAAAGATACATGACATTCGGCATCAAATACCTCTCTGGGGGTCCATATCTGACCAATCTATCAGTCTCAAGTCTATACTCTGCCGTGGGCCAAAACATTGACCTACCCTGTCCCAAGTGAGAAAATTGAGGGTCTTGCAAGGGAGGGCCTTGTTCACAGCTGTAAATGCAAAAGCCTAGTACCAGCCCAGCCTGGCTTCAGGCTTCTGGGCTCATTGGCCCTGCCTGCAACGTCTTCCATGTCTTGTTTAGAGGTAGAGAGTGTCAGTTCTGAAGGTCAGCAGATCTGCTCTGTGTCCTTGAGCAAATGATGCCACCTCTCTGAGCTCCATCCCACCTCCTCTTGCACAAGATGCTTTAGACTCTTCCCTTCTAAAAAATGCTGGCAGACACGGCATACTGTCCACAGCTGTGACCATCATGTTACTGTGACCCCAGTGCGGTACCACCCTTGACGGGCTGCTGTTTTCCCACATGGAGAGTATGCTTTGAAGCTCTGCGGTGGGGGCACAAAGGGACTGACTGGCTGCAGTGGCTCAGATACAAGTTTGGGAGGCCAGACAGGAACAAGCTCAAATCCCAGCCTCACCATGGGACTGTGGGACTTTGGGCAAGTTGCTGGCTTTTCTCTGGACAAAAGTGATGATTACACCTGCCTCATAATGTTCAGGTGATTAAATGAACTCATAACTGGGACTTTTACCCCCACCTGCCCCTGCCTCCCAAGTGCTGGGACTAAAGTTGTGTACCACCAGGTCCTGCCAAGGCTGGGACTCTTGATGCAGGATTATTCATTACTCTTACAGAAAAGTCCCTGTGGGGATAATGGCTCCCAAGGGCACGTCTGCTTGCTGTTCTGCCCTCATGGTCTCCAGCGACCAGAGGCTGCTTGGGTGATATGCCCACACAGACTATGGTATTTGTGGGTGGGGGCTCACCTCTGGGGGCTGCCAGTCAAGGATGTGATCAATGTCCATGGTCTTCCGGAACTCCATGTACTGAAAATGAAAGGGGCGGTTAGGCCCTGTGGGGCTCCCAGCTCCCTATAAAGGGCATGGGAGTAGAAGAAGGCATTGATTGTCCCCCTCATCCCCGAATGAACACCGTCTCCAAGTCCTCAGGGTGGCACTTTACCTTGCGGAGCATGGCCTCAGATTTCTGCAGGTCAAAGTTCCGAGCTGAGGAAAAATGGGGGGGGGGTGAAGATGGGACAAGGCTGTCTTGCCTTGTCCCTAACTAGTGAGAGCAATGGGGGGGTGGGCATTGGGGAGTTTGAGTAGGACCCTGCCCCTTCCTCCCCTGAGCATGTGAAGCAAGATGGAATGGTCAGATCCTGAGAGCCACAGATTGTTAAGGAGCTGTGGGGGACCCAGGTCCTCTTGCTGTCCCCTCATCTCCAACATTCCCACCTCTTCCCTCACCTCGGAGCCAGCGAAGAAGGAAATAGTCATCAGGGTTTGGCAGGGCGGGCAGCACGTCCTGGACGTTTTCCCGGAACTGGAAAGAAAGATGCATGTTGGCATATTTCTCACACCCAGCCTTGGCCTCTCAACTCCAAGATTCATTAATCCCCGCTCCTTCCCTCCCTCCCTCAGTCTAACAGTGGCGTGGGGGGTGGATGGAAGAATGGCACGTGTGTGAACAAAGGCAGAAGGCAGGGCGGGTGGACGCGTGGATCCGGAATAGGCAAACAAGCCGAAAGAAGGAGAGATGGGCAGAGGAAGGAGAGATGGGCGGATGAAGGAAGGAGAGATGGCGGATGAAGGAAGGAGAGATGGCGGATGAAGGAAGGAGAGATGGCGGATGAAGGGAAGGAGAGATGGGCGGATGAAGGGAAGGAGAGATAGGCAGATGAAGGAAGGAGAGATAGGCAGAGGAAGGAAGGAGAGATGGGCAGAGGAAGGAAGGAGAGATGGCGGATGAAGGAAGGAGAGATGGCGGATGAAGGAAGGAGAGATGGCGGATGAAGGAAGGAGAGATGGCGGATGAAGGAAGGAGAGATGGGCAGAGGAAGGAAGGAGAGATGGCGGATGAAGGAAGGAGAGATGGTGGATGAAGGAAGGAGAGATGGGCAGATGAATGCAAGGGGCAGTAGATGTGTGGGCGGTGAATGGAGAGGGAGGATTGTGGGTGTTTTCCGAGTTCCCTTTGTGCATTTACTCATCTTCCCATCTTTTACAAAAACGTGGATCTGAAGGAAAGAAAGGAAGGCAGAGAGAGAGAGAGAGACAGAGAGAGAGACAGAGAGAGAGAGAGAGAGGCTCATGATCAAAGGTCCTCCTCCCCTCCAGCCGTGGACACACGACCCTCTTCCTGTCTCTCTGATCTGGATCCTACAGACTGGCTTCCCTTTCAGTCCCAGGCAAGAAGAATATATCAGAGGACCACAGCTCCTACCCAGGGGGCAGGGAGGGAGGAGGTGGTGAGGGCAACTGCCAGGTAGAGCTCTCTGGGTCTGACTCCTGGGCAAGTTCAAGTCTACTTTTCTGCACATGTCACCCACATGTAACACCTGTTGGGGTGAGCACTGACATCACTGAGCTGTGCAGGATGTGACCCCTTTGGAGGTGACAGCAAAGGCATGCATGCAGAATCAGTGGATGGAGGCAGCGTCCAGATGCTCCCTCCCAGCCCACCCCTCAGCCCGCCCCCCTGAGGTCCTACAAGAGGGGCTTCTCTTACCTTGGCCAGGGCCTCTGCCTGTTTGGGACTCAGATCTCCCACTCGGCCACTCATGGTGCTGGCTGAGACTGAAGTGACCACTGCAGGCAGAGGCCCAGCCTCCTCTGTCTGCCCAGACCCAGCTGCAGCCTTTTGCCCCCACTTCTGGGTGTGGCTCAGGCGCCTCCCCCAGGCCAATTCTTTAGATTGGACATTACATAACTGGGATTAAGTGCGGTCCCGTGCTTGGCTCTGGGACAGGTCTGGAGGAAACAGCAGGCTCAGAGGGTATGCCAGAGGCCCCTGCTTGACGAGACAGCTGTGAAGGAGGGAGCCTGACCTTCCTTCCCTCAGAGACCCTCTCCGTGCTCTCTGGCCTCCAATGACCACTGTCCTAGAGAAGGGGGGGTCCCATGGAGGGTGAGCTTCACTTCTCAGAGGTACAGGCTTTCCCTCAGCCTCAGTCTCCTCATGCTCCTGATGAAGGAGCCCCAAAGCCTCCACTGGCTCCTGCAGGATGGGAGTCTGAGGCCCTGCAGCCTACTGAGCAGCCCACACTACGCTCAGAGCTGGGAGAAGCTCACACCCTTCAGATGCAGACAGGCTGTGGAGCAGAGTTCTGGGTAGTGCTTGCCTAGTACTGTAGTCCTGGGTTCAGTTCCTGCTCACACCCTTCAGATGCAGACAGGCTGTGGAGCGGGATGGAGTTAGTGCTTGCCTAGTACTGTAGTCCTGGGTTCAGTTCCTGCTACCGTAAAAGGAGGGAGGCAGACAAGCTGACTGCAACTGAGGACGGAAGGCAAAGGTCCCTGGTGAAGGCTGGTCTTTTCCGCGGGCCAATGCTACCTTTCCTGATATCTTCCAAATTCCACCGCAAGGAGCTGGTCCTATAGACTTGAACATAGGGAAAGGCCAGGCACTTTCCCCCATGTCTACCCAGAACCCCAGGTGTGGGGCCTCCGGTTATGCACAGCTCCCATTAGTATTGGAGGTTCAGGGGGAGCAGGCGCACGGCCTTGGAGGCAAGGATGTCTTTTGGGGGTTTTCCTATCTGGCCAGCAATAGGCATCCGCCTGGGGGTGAGGAAGCTGGTGGGTTATCCACAGAGGTGCTTAGAAAAGCCCAGCTGGTTCCTGTGTCGTTTGCTCTCTGTCACGTTCTACCACCAGATGAGCCTGAGGCCTGTCTCTGCTCCGGATTTTCTTTTAAACCTCCCAACCCAGTGTTTCCCGCGGCCACTCATTTCTTTTTCTTTTTTCGAGATGGAGGACTGCCCTTACCTGGATGAGAAGCCCAACTGCCTGGGTTTGTGCATTGCTAGGGGTTAACCCCCTCCCTTCCCTGGAGCCATGGGAAGGAGAAGCCCATCCTGTCACTTAGTGTCTCTATGAAAACCTCCAACCTGGCGCGTGCCTATCATCTCAGCACTCAGGAGGCGGACCGTGGGAGGCAGTAAACTCAAGATCAGCATGGGCTACACAGAAAGACCCCGTCTCAGGATAAACCAACAAACAAGAAAGCAAAGCTGTCTCAAGAGAATTTACATGGGCAGAAACTATCCTGGGCTAGCCTTGGTTAACATAGCTAGGCTAGCCCAAGCCAATCTGCTCAAGACTGTCCCAGGTCCACTAACCCTAACCTAGAGCATCCTAGATGTCCAGTTTTGGGGCGATCCTGGGCCTCTTTCTTGAGCTATCTCAGGGTTCTGTTGGTTGTGAGCCTAGCCTTTAAGGGCTGAGCTATCCCTCCAGCCCTATCTCAGGGTTCTTTAAGGAGGTGGGTGGAACACTCTAGACACTGCCTGCTGGCTCCTTGCCTGATTGGTGCTCTGATACAGTTGGGTCCACAGGAGAAAGAGCTACCTTTGTCTATTTCCCTCTGTCTGGGGCACCTGGTATGTCCCTCTGGAACAGTTAGGTAACTCTCCACACCCAGCCCAACCCCACTTCACATTCCAACCACCCACTTCCCCCGCACGGCGACCTGTGGAGATTGGGTTCCTTAGCCGCTCTGTCATTAGCTCCTAATCCCACCGTTTCTCACCAGTCTCTGTTCTCTCCCTAATCCCTCTAATGGCTGGGAAGGAAGAGAGGCCAGGGTCCTTCTAGGAGATGTGGTTCTCATAGGAACTCTGAGCCCTTCTGACTGGACCACAAATGTGCCAAGCAACTTAGTGTGTAGGAGCCATCAACGGGACTTCCTGTGATGGTGGGCATGGTCGGCCCCAGTTAACCCGTGTAGTAGTCATGACTCCTGTGTGAAATAACAGCATAACTGAAGCCCGGGTTGTTGTTTTTTTGTCTGTGTTTCCCGGTATAACCTAGACTGGCCTCAAACTCAAGAGCCTTCTGATTTATCTCCCAAGTACCGGGATCACAAGTGTGTACGTGGCATTCGAATGCTTGTTGATCACCAGGGCGTGCACCATGGCTGGTAGGCCTGTGATTTTAATTGAATTCTCCCCCAACCCCCTTTCTTTCTCTGGTATTGGAGAGTGAGCCCAGGCCTTAGACAAGGATATGCTGGTCTCTTACCATTGAACTGCATTGCTCTCAGCCTTCTTTTAACTTTTTATTTTGAGACAGGGTCCCGGGAAATTTGATCAGGATAGCCTTGTATTCACTCTGTAGCCCAGACAAGCCTTGAACTTGTGATCTTCCTGCTCAGTGTCCCAAGTAGCTGAGACCAGCAATTACTTGAACTTTAATTCCTCCATGTGGCTTATAGCTAGAATGATCACTTTTAGGGAAGTCATATCACGTGCCAAGTTGAATTCGGAGCACAGTGTGTCTACTAGACTTAGGAAACTCCCTATAGGAGGTGTGCACCATTGTTTAGCATATTCTACAGATGCGGGGCTTGGAGAATGAAATGACTCATCCAAGGACTTGACAGTCCCACAGCCTCGGCTCCAGGAGCTTCACACTGGTTAAGGATGTAGGAGCCAGAGGGGTTGAGGATACAGGAGCACAGCCCACAGATCAGCTAAACAGGGCTCACAGAGACTGAAGCGACAATCATGAAGCCTGCTTGGTCTGTGCTAGGTCTCTGTATACACGCGGTGGTTGTTTACCTAAGGGTTTTCGTGAGTGAGCAACATGTCTCCCACTCTTCTGCGTATTCTTGGAACCCTTTTCCTCCTACTGGGTGGCCTCATCCAGCCTTGATAAGAAGGTCTGTGCTTGGTCTTACTGCATTTTGTCATGCCATGTTCGGTTGACATCTCTGGGAGAGCTGCTATTTTCTTTAGGGAAACAGAGCAGTGGATCTAGGGGGTGATTTAGAGAGGACCTGGGAGGAGTGGAGGGAAGGGAGGCTGTGGTCAGGACGTAACGCATGAGAGAATAAGTAAAAAGAAAGAAAAGAAAAAGAAGGGACCCAACACAGAGGTCACCCAATGTGAAGTAGCATATGGCTGCTCATCTCCTAGTGGCCAGGAAGTTGAAAGAGGGAGGGGGTGGTGGGGACACAATACACTCTTCAAAGGCTTCTCCTCCATGAACACAACTCCCTGAGTAGGCCCCGCCCACTATCCCATTCAGTGTGACCTTGTCAGTTCTTTGACGGCTGATGAAGTTAATACCTGGATGTTCCAACCATCTCTCAATAGCATCAGCTGGGGCCAAGGCCTTCTGCACATTGGCCTTTGGAGGGGGACTGCGAATCTAAATATTAAAGAGAGTGAGCTAATCTTGGGGGAAGCTGCAGGGATTCTGCGGAGAGCGCTGGGCTTCCCATTTGCTAATCACTTCCTCTGGGTTGGGAGCTTCATGTCCTCATTTGTTCTCATGGAAGCGGCTATAGGTGGCCTCGTTTCCCAGCCAAAGCAACGGGTATTCACAGAGGTCAAGGGACCTTCAGAAGTTGTGCAGCTACAACTGGAGCTCAGCTTGTCTGATTGTGCTACCTGTTTGGAACTGGAGCAAGCCCCAGCCCTGTGCCCCATCTTCCACCCCACCCCAAGATAGCTGGAAGCTACCTACACACACACACACACACACACACACACACACACACACACACACACACACACACTGGGCTGCAGGGTAGGTGGAGTCAACTTGGAATTTAACGTTCCCTTCCTTTGAAACAAAGGGCCAGGGGAAGAGACCATCCGTACACACCCAGAACTATTCTCCCCAGGTAAACACCCCCCAGGTTGTGTTGAACAACTCCTTTGCCAAGGATTCAGGGGACCAAGGCGACAACCACAACATATACAAGTAAACACAGGTGTGGGAGTTGGCAGAACTGACTCACCTCACCCAAGACCCCCTAAGTTTCTAGGCAATGGTAAAGGGCTGCTCCCCACCAACTCCAGTGTCCACACTCTCCTGCCCACCTTCCCTAGGCAGATCATGCTTGAACCAGCTAAGAGAGTCTGCAGGGAGTGCAGAGGCTCCATGTGAGCAAACGTTGCTAGCAAGAAGCAGGCAGGAGAGAGCTCAGACCACAGGAAGGAGAGGCGGGTGGGGGTGGGGGTGAGGGTGGGCGTGGAGGGTGCACATGCACCCAGTGTTGTTCTGTCACACCCTCTGGCAGTCCATGCGAGGCTTTAGTACCTTGGACAGATTTATTTATTTGTTTATAATTTTTTCCAATGCTAGGGATCAAACCTAGGGCCTAGTGCATGCTAGTGGGAGCTCCACTAACTGAGCTTTTGCCAAGGAAAATGGAAGAAAATGTTAATGTAACATGATCCACACAGGCACTATAAATGCTTTTTCTTCATATACAGATCAGTGGTGTTTTAGCACCCTCATTGGGTTGTGTTAAATGTCTAACCTAACTGTAACAAAGGTTCGGAGGTTGCTTTGGCTAAGAAGCATGGAGGCCTTTGATGCCCAACAAAAAACTGAAAGGATAAACATGTGGTGTCTCTACTCTCTTTTTGTATCTGTCTTCTTTGCTGCCTTAAATGTTGGGTCAGATTCCGGCTCATCTCTCTCCACAGTTATGTTTGTTTAAAGTGTCTGTCTAGGGGCAGGAGAAAAGGCTCTGTCAGGGCACCTAAGTATGGTTCTCAGCATCCATTCTGGGCAGCTCACAAGAGCCCACAACTCCAGCTTCAGGGAAGTCTGACCTTTCAGGTCTCCAAGGACACCTGCACTCATATGCACATACCCTCACAAGGACACACATGTGTGCACACTGTGGGAAGCTGCCTTTGTAGGGCTGCAGTCGGAGCCAGCCCACCAGCCCAGGGTTCGGACCTGAGAGGGGGAGTGTGGATCAAAGAAAAGCTAGCTGAAGGGGTTAAGAGGCAGAGACACAGGATCGATGTTGGGAGAGCCATTGAATCCATACTGAATGCTGAATGCACCCTTAGTTTATTCTTTAACAATCTTAAGTATCCAACCAAAAGTGGGGACAATGGCAGAGGACTTTTATTATCCTGTATAAGGGGCAAAGAGACTTACTTCCCTTAGTCCTCCAGGTATTTGGTAGCCACACCTGCCACTCAGACCTTAGGGTTGAGAATAAACACACCTGGGCCCAAGTCTATTGTTACTTAGATAGAGACCTCTGCTAATAAGGCCAAAGCATCCTACAGCCACCAAGCTACGTCTTATAGGTAATAAGACAGATTTGAACTCTCTGAACTTGAGGCAAGATAAAATGGACTCCTTTTCATGGGTCCTGACACACACATAAAAAATAAATCTTGGAGAGTCTGCCTAGAAACTGACAACGCAAAGTTGATTTGCCTTAAGTAAGGATGGCTGTGCCCCTCACCCAAAGTGTCAGCAAGTAGCCGAGTTAGAAACCAAAGCTGCCCAATCGAGGAAGAACAATCATATCCAGGGAAACCAACTCTCCCTTTCAGCAATGAGAGTTTTTAAAGCCAGAAGACCCTCCAGGACTTAAACTGAAGCAATGACCAAGCAGACTAGATCCCATGTAGCCCAGGCTCTTCAGAACTGGTTATGTAGCCAAAGGACCCTGAACTCCTCCTGACTCCTTCCTAGACCTCCCAAGTGCCAAGATTACAGGTTTGTGCCATGCCCAGATAATATACATTTGTCTTCCCCACCTCCAAGTTTGTTATTGCCTTGTACAGCCTCAAGCTCTTGTTAGCTCCTAGAAGATGGGCTGGTAGTTATCCATCTCCCAGTATGCTCACCCTGCATCATAAAATCCTTTCATCTCACCAGTACTGTGTGTGAACATGTGTATATGTGTATGTGTATACATATGTGTGCACAAGTGCACTCACCTGGTGTGTGTGTGTGTGCATATGTGTAAGCCAGAGGTCAATTAACAGGTATCTCCATCTTTTTTTAAAGATAGGTTCTCTGTGTAACAGCCCTGGCTGTTATGAAACTCATTCTGTAGACTAGACTGACCTCAAATTCACAGAGATCCTCCTGCATCTGCCTCCTGAATGCTGGGACTAAAAGCATGTGCCACCATCACCTGGATTCCCACCTTATTCTTTGGGATAGAGTCTTTCTCACTGGAATTGGAGCTTACTGTTTTATCAAGTGTGGCTGGCCAGTCAGCTCCCAGGATCCTGCTTTGCCCACTCAGTGCTGGGGTAACAAATGAGGGTCACCATGCCAAGCTTTTAACTTGGGTGTTAGTAGTCCAAATCTATGCTTACACAGGCAACACTTCATCTATAGAGTTATCCTCCTAGGCCCCTACATTTGATTTTTAGGGCAAATGTTCAAATATGGTCTTTTGGGACCTCCTGGTCTAGGACTCTAGTAACACATAAAATTTACATCATCTTTTTCCCCATCCCAAATCTCTGAACCTATCAACAACCATCCCCCACTTCCTCTGCCCTGTCCCAGCTCCTGAAAACCAAACGTTCTAGCTCTGTAGATTTCCCAGTTCCAGATATTCTGCATGAATGGAATCCAGAATGCATTGACCTTCACTGACTGGCTTCTTTCATTTAACATGATGTTTCTGAGGTTCCCCCAAGTTACATCGTGTATCAATGCAGTCAGCGACTCATACCAACATTCCGTCAACAGCCTAATGCATAGACCACGATAGTCCCAGAAGGGTGAAATGGAACAGAAAAACAGAAAAGTTCTAGAATTTTTATTTATCTTTATGTATATCAGTGTTTTGCCTGTCGGTGTGAGGGGTCAGATCTTGGAGTTACAGACAATAGTGAGCTGTCATGTGGGTGCTGAGTATTGAGTCCAAGTCCTCTGGGAGAGCAATCAGTGCCCTTAACTGCTGAGATATCTCTCTAGGCCCCCCAATCCTAGCATTTTACATACTTTCCTACACTTAGACATAGTCAGAGATATACATACTTACCTGTATATTACACCTGCTTGCAGTGCTTGTACAGTTGGCCTGTTTGTGACCTGACTGCTCCATCTACGTCTGTATAAACTCCCTGTCAAGTTCACAGTAAGTGAAGCTGGCACTGCGGCCCTCATCAGCGTGGCTCTGCCTCCTTACTTCCTTTCTCCTTTTGTTTTCCAGAGAATCTTGCTGTGTAGCCCTGGCTGTCCTGGGACTCACTCTGTAGACCAGGCTGGCCTCGAACTCGCATCTGCCTCCAGGTGCTGGGATTAAAGGCGTGTGCAACTGTGCCCCTCTGGCTCCGTTGCTTTTTATGGTTGAACACTGTCTCATGTGGGACAGCATCCATGGCTCTGTCTGTTGGTTGGTGGACAGGCACTCGGGCGCCTTCCACTTTCGGTTTGTGAACCATGCTGTTAGGAAAATGTTTTTGTACAAACTTAATGGGGACATATGCTTTCCAGTCAGTTGAGTTAAATCCACAAGAATGGACTCATTGGGTTGAACACAGACTGTCATGCAAGGCAAACACAGTGCTTTATAGTTCTAAATGGATGTGGTTCTTTTCTAGTTTCTCCTCATCGTCGACAATATTTGTTAGTTTTTGTCTTTATGTAAATTCTTATTCTGGCCATCCAAGTAGCTCTTAAGTGATTGAGTTCTGGGCTCAGGGCATAGCTCAAGCAGGTGGGTTACAGGACTTGATAGATTCAGGTTGTCGGGTGAAGCTGGGGCAGGAAGGAGGGTTGTGGCAGGTCACAGAGGGCCTCGTAAGACTTGTGTGCACACACAGGGGCACTTGGGGAGCCAGGGAGGGACTTACACAGAGAAATGCGATCCAGCTGTCATTTCGGGGACATTTATGGCTTTTGGAGTCTGGGTGGGAAGACAGCAATGGTCTTCTAAGCTGGAAATAGAGGTGACAGGGCAGGGGAAGACAAGGTCCTGTTAGAACGAGCTCCCGTGACAGGGTATGAAAAGTGGGATTAGACCCCCTCTTTCTGCCACTTCCAGCAACCTCAAACAGTTGGGGCTGGTGGGCTTGGCCTCCCGGACCTGTGAGATATGGAGGTCCTTCAATTGCATGCCCAGTGAGCCGAGGTATGTGTAGCCCAGCACTGCTCCCTGGTGGAGGGACACAGAGGTCACAAGGCTGAGGGAGCAGGTCTCTACCTGGTTGGCCTGGCTGCTCTTTCTATGAAGCGACCAAGCCTCCCACTTCACAGGCCAGACGGACCCAAGCCTGTGGGGTTTTGTTGTTGTTTGGGTGGCTCAGGGGATTGAACCCAGGACCTTGCACATGCTAAGCAAGTGTTCTACCACTAGGCTGTATCCCTGCCCAGTTCCTCAAGTTCACATCTTGCTGTCTCTCCTTTTTTTTTTTTTTTTTTCTTCGAGACAGGGTTTCTCTGTATTGTTTTGGAGGCTGTCCTGCAACTCACTCTGTAGACCAGGCTGGCCTCAGACTCAGAGAGCCACCTGCCTCTGGGATTAAAGGTGTGTGCCACCCCCCTGCTATTCTGTCTCTGTCTCTGTCTCCTTATGTTGTATCTCAGGACAAGTCACTTCCTGCCCCAAGCCAGATCTCCTTTCCTGTAACCATCCATAAGGCTTCTTGTCACAGACTGGCCTGGGCACCCGGTACATTGGGAGTGAGCTGGACTTTTTCTGGAACTCCATGCCTCCCTCCGGCCCACACTGAAACCCACACAGTCTTCCTTCATAGAGGAAATGGCCAAGTCAGGCCGGTCCTCTCAGAAGGCAATGGGGGCACGTGGAGTCTGCCCCAGTTTGCCATTGGATGCGGGCTTTGCTCAAGGCGCACCCTCACTTTGCCGAGCCTCCGTGTGCTGGCCTGTAAAATGGGACTTCATCTCTGCTTCAGGGTGACACACAAGGAGTTGTGTGAACTGTGGGGGGCTGGGCTCTGCTTCAGGATGACACAAGGAGCTGTGTGAGCTGTGGGGGCTGGGCTTAAAACCTGCCCTGAACACCAGACTGCTGTGTCCCTTTCAATGTCATGAGCTTGACTGGGAATCTGGGAGTGGGTAGGTAGGGGAGCCTAATTGCCATAAAAGCACCCCTATAAGTGTTCCATGTGCCTTCTTCCAGAGGCTGTGAGGACTTTCTTTAGGAGGTGGTTGGGGTAGAGTAGGCCTTGCCTCTATCCCCTAGATAGAGAAGGCCTTAGGATCCGTAGCACCTTATTTGAAGTGCTTGGATGTATAACTTCCTGTCAAAAATGCTGCCCACCCCTGACAAACTGCACACTTACAGTCATTCTGTAACTTACATCAAAGTGTGATTTATTGACAACCATTTAACTCTCCTGACTCTCCTCTGGCCCCAAACACCTTGTGGCCACCCATATCCCATTCCTCACCCTAGAGGTACGTCCCTATGTAATTATCCCACCCCAAGTCCTTCTGTGGTCACTTCAGCAAAGCTCACTCTTTCCTGGGCGTCCCCCACGAATTTGGTCCCTGCCACCACAAGACACCAGAAGACAGCATGCACGTTTGGTTTCTGCTCAGCAAGGTCACTTCTGCCCCCCTCAGTGTGGACAGGCTTCCAGTGGGCGGAGTTCGATCAGCTGAGCATCCTTACTGTCCCCAGGACCTGCAATGCCAGACACTGGACAGACGCTCAACAAATGCTAAAGAATGATGAGTAAATAAGTAAATGAAGGCACAAACCTTTTTTTTTTTAAGAAATCAGGGTTTTTTTTTTTTTGGTTGGGGATGCAGCTCACAAGCAGAGTGCTTGTTTAGCATGTGCAAGGACATGACACAGCTCCAGAAACACACGTGCACACAAAATCAAAACTGACACTCTATAAGGGGTGTCCAAGTTGGAACTACAGGCTGCATGAGGTTCAGGGTCTCTATGAATCTGGATAAACACAGAATCCCTGAAATTGCATGAAATGTTGTGTGGACGTGTTCTGTGGGTTTTTGGGTTGTTTTGTAACTCAGTTGGCATGGTTCTCAATAAGGAGCTTTGTAGATGACAGCATTGTGTTGCAATTTCAGAGAGTTGGACCTGCCTGCAAGAGTGAGGGTTCGCTGAGGACACATGACTTCCTGGGCTCTCAATGCCCCGTCCACTTGCCAGGCAGGTTCGGCCTCACTTCCTCAGGTGACCTCTGTGATCATTGTTTAACCACGAGGCATGTGCCAGCTCTGGAATCCGGAGCCTCTGGTGCCTGCTGCCCACCCTGTGTCCTCTGATGGAAGCATCAACTCTCCTTGTGCACAGGGCAGGTCTGCCTCCGTTACCAGCCAGGAAATACTAGTGAGGCTGTACTAAAGGGAAGACTGGATGTGGGTGGTTAGGACAAGGGTCAGGGTTCAAGTCCAGAAGCCTTTTATTTTAAGGCCACGTTGAGTCTCTCTGAGTACTCATCATGACATGAAGTGAGATGGATGAACTCAAGACAGTCCTAATCACTGTTAGTGACAACCACCTCAGTCTGCCAAATGATGTGGGGAAATGACCCCAGGAAGCTGGAGTGCCTCTGGGAGACTGTATCGCCAGTGCAGGAGCAGTCCTGGACTTGGAAATGCCTTGTGACTCTTGCCTGACAGTTCCAGGCTCTCTTTGGATCCAGCAAAATCATAGAATTTCTTTCCTTCTTGTCAATCTGCTTAAGCTTAGGCAGGGATTTCTTATGGCACTGCCTCTTGGCCTTTCTCCCCTATTCAGACTCTAAACCTTGACTGTAAATGGTCCAGGTATAGTGGCTGGGGGTTACCCTGAAGAGTCCCCTCATCTTCAAGACTTCTTGATTTCCTCCACTAACATCTCTTTAATAATGAAGACATCTAGCAAGCAGAGAAAATCAAATGATGGCGTTTGAAAACAGGAGAGGGGCCAGGACCTGGCTTCTTGTTCGGATGGTGCCTAGATGGTTGCATCTGCTAAGGTTTCTAGGATGATGGCACTTTGAAACAAGGACTCCCTTTTCAGGAACATCTCACTGTTCACTTCCTGGGTTTTGGCCAGCATCATAGTAGGACAAAGAAGGCCACCAAGTGATCCTAAAAACAGCGTCTGAGCCTCCCTACATGTGACATAGGTCTTCTGTCCCAACCAGAGACCCAGGCAGAAGCAGTGCAGTACAGCCCAGACTCCTAGGCCCCGGGTAATGGCTCCTCCCAGTCTGTACAAAGAGGCACACTGACTCAAGCTTGGCAGCATCTGCTCTGATGGAGCAATGGTGGACTGGCTGACTACCTGCAGAATCCAGTATGGCCAGTCTTTGAGATATTACATGCAGCAGCTGTCACTGGCTAGCGCCTGGGGAAGGGGCATTGGCAGCTGCCTTTCAACTCTCTCGTTAGAGACACACAGATGTGTGGAAGGCTGGAAGGTTCTTCAAGAAGCATGTTAGAAGTCAGGATGAACCCCCAGGATGATTCACCCTGCACTCCACTTCTGTTATCTCTCTGCAGCTTAGCTTTGGCTCTGAACTCCACTCAGGCCAGAAATAAAGACAGCTGGGCATAGTGGTGCAGATCCCAGCACCCAGGACACTGAAGAAGGCAGATGAATGCATGGCCAGCCTGGGCTACATGGTGAATTTGAAGATGGCGTGGCAGGGGCAACTGCCTTAAGAAATGGGAAATAGTCAAACTTGAGTATTAGCAGGATCCTAACAGGTGTGCATGGGGGCGGGGAGATGCATGTGCACGTGTGTGTGTTGTGTGTGTGTGTGTGTGTGTGTGTGTGTGTGTGTGTGTGTATTTCTTCACTGGACTCAACACCCTGCTCAACCTTGTCAAGCTGAGTGTGACTTTTCCTCAGATGGTCCCTTGCCACATCCTGCCTCCCAAAGGCAGCAGAATTTAGAGAGGCCTTGATGCTGTGTTGGAGCTGGGGCCTCACCCCTCCTCCACAGGCTATCCAGCTGCCTCCAGCTGGCCCTTCCATCCTTGCTGACCTCCGGTTGGAGAGAAACCATCCCTGCAGCTGTGCTTCCTGTGGGGGACAGGACATATGTTTCAGGTACTGGATCCCAGCTGGGATACCAGCGTGGCTGAATCCTGGGTGAGTGTGTGTCTTCAAGAGGACAAGAACAAGGACAGGGTCCTTTCCTAGTGCATGTGTGGTGTCAGCCTCAGCCTCATTCTCTAGGTACAGGGAATGAAAGTGCTGGTCTGTGTCTAAGTGGTCCCCTGGGAGGCTCAGATAGAGACGGGGCTGGAGATCTCTGAAGCACTTTCAGCACCACCCTGCCTGGCCTCGGGAGGGGCAGTGGTGTGTGAAGGAGCTGGATGGAGCAGGGTCAGAGGCGGCCAGAGTCTTCGCTGTCCTGAGAAGGGTTCGTTGCCCTGAGGCCCTGCAACTTCTCCTCACAGGCCTTGTCTGGGAGCAGCACCTCTGCAGTGTAGCCAACTTTCTTGGCATGCAGGAGGCTATAGGTGTTGTCGAAGCGCAGGACATCTGCAAAGACAGGGAAGAGAGAGACGACGTAAGCCCAGCTCGTGAGCACTCCTGGTGATGCTGGGAACTGTGCTGGCCAGGCCCATGGGTAAGACCCGAGTGTCAGCCACTGCCCTGACCCCAACCCCACTGCTCATGACCACTTCCCGGGAGTGTGGTGACCACAGTAGGGGTATGGCCCCCTGTAGCACCCAAGCATTACACCGTCACTTCACAGCTCCCTGAACCCCTCTTCAGAGCAGCCCCAGAAGAAAGGATGTCATTCCCATCACTATGGTTTGGGCAAGCGTTCCTAGAAGAGCCATGTGTTGAAGGCTTGGTTCCCAGGTGGCACTGTCAGAAGGTGGTGGGCACCTTGGGAGGGGAGTGACATGGTCTCTCTATGCTGGCCTTGAGCTCCTGACCCTTTTGACTCAGCTTCCCCAGGCGCTGGGATTACAGGTGTGTGCCAGCACCACGCCTGGCTTCTTCCTTCCCTCTCCTTTGGTCCCCGGTTTGAGATACTGGTGCCTTTGCTCTGAGTGCTCTCGTCCTGGTGTGCACCCTCACCAGAGCCTCAAAGCAATAAACTCATTGGATCTTGGGCTAGAATCTCTAGAACCGTGTGGTATGGTATTTTCTAAGTTAATTGCCTTGGGTATTTTGTTATAGTATAAGAAGTTAGCTACAGGTACAGTCCTTGCACCCTCCCTGAGAATTGGACATGAAAGAAATCCTGAGGGGTCTGGCTTTCTTTCTTTTCTTTTTTCTTTTTTTCTTTTTTTTTTTTTTTTTTTTTGGTTTTACAAGACAGGGTTTCTCTGTATTGTTTTGGAGGCTGCACGACCAGCCAGGCCTCGAACTCACAGAGATCTGCCTGCCTCTGCCTCCCGAGTGCTGGGAGTACCACCACCCGGCCTGGCTTTCTTTCTATCACAAAGACAACTGCAGGAAAACCGGAAGCTCTTACAGACTCCGGCCTTTGAGCAGGTGAGGCTCCCGTCCTCAGGCACCATGTGGGCGTTGTAGCGCTGGCTGGGCAGCACCTCAGTCATCTCCCCCGCCTTCTGCCGCTCCCCCATCCTGGTCTTTAGGAAAATTCCAAAGCCAATGTCCCCACCGTCTGATGCAAACTGCCACCTGCAGCGAAGAGAGCCCACTGACAACCTCCTGTATGGACTGCGAGGCCCTCCCAGGTGCGCCCAGGCTGGGTCCCTACCTGAGCACACAGCCTGGGAACAGGATCTCGTTCTCCACCTGGTGGGAGGAGCCTCGGCCCACAGCCACTGTGTGCTCATAGTGCAGCCTCTCCTGCCTGCACAGGTAATAGCGCTTGGGCACATCGCCGCCATGGTTGATCTGTGAGTCAGCGGTGGGTAAGCTGCTAGTCCGCCACATTGGAGTCCTCCCTCCCCATCCTCCAGGCACTCTGTACCTTGGTCAGGCACTTGGGGTTACCATCAGGATCAGTCATGGTCCCCCCAAATTCCACAGGCAGCTGGTCAGGGCTCATGAACGTGAGCAGCTCCTGTTTCCAGTTATCTGTGTGAGGAACAGGGGGCTCTGAGGGGTTCTAGGAGACCAACAGAGAGCCGGTGGGGAGGATCACCTGCTCCTCCACTAGTCTACTCCTCAGAGCACTCTTAGGCTCTTAGGCCATCCGGAACTGGAAGTCCAGCTCTGTGCTCTGCTGAGGCGGGTCAAAGCCAATGGCTGCGGAGAGAGGATCTCCCAGGAGAAGGGGGTCTTCGGCAGCACCCTTTGCTTTCCAGACAGGCCCAGAGCTGTCCCCGGCTGGAGGCCAAGGGTCAGTCACTCACCTCCCAGAATCACTATCTTCTTTTGCGTCACCTCCCCCATGAAAGACTTGACCAGGTTGAAGGCCACTGGGAAAAGCCTGGGAGCTGAAACACACAGAACGCCACTGGGAAGCTGGACCAGAGACAACTTCGGTACATAAAGGCGCAGCCAAGGCGCTATGCCAGGCGGGAGCTGTGCGGATCCGGATTCTGCCCTGCCCTGCTGTGTGAGCGCCAGTGAAGGACTTACACCTCTCTTAGTGATGTTAGCTGTGAAGTGACTGACTGCATGGTGTCTGGACCTCAACGGTCCGTGGTGTCCCTTAATCTGTTGTAGGGTGTTGGGTGCAAGCTGGGTCCACAGTCAGCAACAGTGGGTAGCCCTTCCTTTTCTCACTCAAGGTTTTGCTAGGGGACCTCGGAGTCCTTTTGGGTGAGGGTGGGTGGGAGACTTGTTTTAAGCATCCTGCCCCACCCCAGGGATACTGCTTACTCACCGAGCACTTCCTGTGCGGCGGGTTTTGTGTGCAATCTTCTCATTTACTATCCTAACTATCTGGGGGGTGTCACGGTGTCCCCAGTTCACAATACAGAAAATCTGAGTCTCGGTGAGATGAAACTGACTTGCTCAAAAGGAGAGGGCTAACGAGGTGTGGTCACCTGAACCCAGGGAATATAGGATGGCCATGGAAGACAGGGGGCATTCTTGCTAACAGCGTGGCTGTGGTCTAGTCTACACTGAGGTGAGTAAGAAGACAGCAGCGAACATTTAGACACCTAACATGGCCGCAACATGCCAGGGCAGGGGTTTGCATATTATAAAAACAGCAGCCTACGAAGGAATGGAGTGAAAAACACAAACGAAAACCTTATTCTTCACAAAAGATGATTTTGAGAAGTGCTAACCCAAAGGTTTATTTTCTGTCACCCCCACCCCAGTCTCCCTTCCCCGGCAGGGGTCACCTCAGTCACAGACTCACCTCGAATAACAATTAAATTTTTCACTGTCTCAGGATAATTTGCTTCCAAGATGGCAAAAAACTGTGAAGTCAAGTGACATTGGTCATGACAGCACCCAGCACCCTGGATGCCCGACTTCTGCTGCTGCTGAAGCAAGAGGCCCACCCCAGCCTTCTCCATAACATGTGCACCCTCCTCTGGGATGTCCTTGCTCCTCATCCTCCTTCTAGGGTGGTCCCAAGGCCAGCGTCTCAGGTTGGCCCACGGGTCCCCTGGATGGGGAGTCGGGGTGGGCTGTGGGCTCCTCTTGGCCTGGAGCTGCTCTTGTCTCCTGCCTTACCTGCTGGTAGACCTCCACAGCTGGCTTCCACAGGTGCCTCAGGCTCAGCCCTTCCATATCAAACACCATCACCATCCTCTCAACCTTCTTGCCCAACTGCAGGGACAGAGCAGGCACACTGGTTAGGTCACTGACCCACACGGGGCTCCTGGCCAGCTGTGTGTTCTTGCCACCCCTGATAGGGAGGCCTGGCAAGCCCGTGGCTTGCCCTGAACAAATGGTACTCATGTACAGTGTGAGGAGATGTTGGGTCTGAGCCCTGCCAGAGGCGGTATCATCACAGTTTGCTCAACGCTATCACCCAGAGCGTGCTTAAAGTGCGATTCAAGGCCTGGCAAGATGGCTCAATGGGTAAAGGCGCTTGCTTCTGAGACCTGAGTTCAGTCCCTGGGACCCGCATGGTGGGAAGAGAGCCAATTCCCAGAAGTTGTCCTCGACCTCTGCATGTGCCCCACGGCACGTGCTGGGCTCATATTGCCGATTCACAAAACCAACAAGGCTGCCTTCTACATTGGGTTCGCTCTGAAAGATGCAGAGGTCAGAGGGCAGCTCAGGGGCAGGAGATGAGACCTGGGAATGTGAAGGCCTTCTTGGAGTAGAAGCCTCACTTTTGAGGGCCCTCTCTCTTTCTCTCTCTCTCTCTCTCTCTCTCTCTCTCTCTCTCTCTCTCTCTCTCTCTATCTGTCTATATATATATATATATATATATATATATATATATATTTCATTTGGTTTTCAAGACAGGTTCTCTGTATGTAGCCCTGGCTGTCCTAGAACTTTCTCTATAGGTCAGACTGGTGTGGAACTCACAGAGATCCACCTGCCTCTGTCTCCCAAGTACTGGGATTAAAGGGATACACTACCACAAAATATATAATGTTTATCTCTCTGTCTGTCTGTCTATCTGTCTATCACGTGTGGCAGATGTGTGTGTGCAGGTGCATACCAGGGTGCCTGTCTGGAAGTCAGAAGACAACTTGTGGAAGTCAGCTCTCTCCTCCCACCATGTTAGCTCCCGTAACAGGACTCAGGTTGTTAGGCATGCTTGCAAGTGCCTTCACCCTCTGAGTCATCTCAGTGGCCCTAGGATTTCATACATATTTTAGTAACACTGTAGTATCGCCTTGAGTCCCATGGGGGATGCACAGAGTCATGGCTTGGCTATCAGTTTTCATAGTTAGAGGATCTACAGTAGTGACTATCTTTTTCGTAAGTAAAGCTGGCTGGCTGTTCCAAGAAACCCTGGGAACAACGCTAAGGGTTCTCACTATGCCTATGGTCAGTGTCAGGGCTTTTCCTGTGGGTGCTGGGAATCTGAGCATGGTCTTTATGCTTGCTCGACAAGCATTTTGTGGTCTCAGCCAGAAGAGAAGGCATTGGTGACCTTACCACAGGCCAGCACACACACACACACACACACACACACACACACACACACACACACACACACGCACGCACGCACGCACGCACGCACACACGCACACACACACACACACTCGCGCGGAGAAATCAAAGTGGGAGAAAAACATACTGAGAGCTGGCAAGAGTTAGACAAGGTGCTGTTCTTCCCTGGGCCTGGAGTCTCCACCTGGTCACATGGAGGCCGCCGCGCCCGCTGCCTGAGCCCCGCTGCTCACCTTTTGACTCTGTAGCTCACACTCACGCTGAAGCAGCTCACAGACTTTGATGCGCTTGCGGATCATGTCCTGCTTGGAAGCAGACATCAGGAGCCCCTTGGGGTCCATTGTCCCAATGATGTCAAACCACACGGGGCAGCCTTCATAGTCATAGCCACACAGACCACCCGAGTCATAGAGTTGGATCACCTGGACAAATGGACAAAGTCCTGACTCAAAGCAGCCCACACTGTGCCATCGGGGAGAGGGCATCAGCAGCAGGCTCAGGGATCCAAGGGGCTCACCTCTGGCGGCTGCCATGCGAGGATGTGGTCTAGGCCCTGCTGATTCCGGAACTCCACATGCTACAGAGACACGCAGAAGCTGCAGAAGCTGCCTGTCTCCAAAAGCCTCTGCAGATATTGGGGACAGGAAGCCAGGTCTCCCTGCCCACAGCTACAAGACTCTATCAGAGCACCCTTAGGCTCCACAGAAGGGGGATGGGGGTGGGAGATGGTGCATGGGAGGAGTGACTCAGGCTTTGTTCAGAAAAAGATCCAGGAGGATGGAAAAAGAAACAGGAGAGGAGACACTCTTTGCAGGCCAGAAACCTGGGTTAGCGTGAGGGGAGTCAGGACGCAGGGGGCAGGGTCCTACCTTCCGGAGCATGTCTTCAGATTTCTTAAGGTCAAAGTTCCGAGCTGCAAGAACATGGGAAGGAGAGGCCAGAGCTAGAATGATCTGGTCTTGGGAGTTCAGCAAGATGGCTTATCAGGTAAAGGAGAGGCACTTGCCACTGTTAAGTCCTAAACACGAACAAATGGCCAACTGTGTTGGTTTGAAGGAAAATGGCCCCCAAAGGGAGTGTAGCCTTGTTGGAGTGGGCGTGGTCTTGTTGGGGGAAGTGTGTCACTGTGGGGGTGGGCTTTGAGATCTCATATATACATATATATATACACATATATATGTATGTACATATTCAAGCCACACCCAGTGAGACAGATCACTTCCTCCAGCCTGTGCAAGATGCAGAAATCTGTTTCTTTTCTGCACGCCACCATGTCCCACCATGATGATAAACTGTAAGCCACCCGCCACCATGTCCCACCATGATGATAAACTGTAAGCCACCCCATTAAATGTTTTCCTTTAGAAGAGTTGCTGTGCTCTTCACAGCAAGAGAAGCCCTAGCTAAGACACTGACCCAGGTGTCCGTTTAACATATCAGAGTGGACCTGGCTGCCAGGCTCTCCCAGCATCCCTGGGTCCCTACCTGCTACAGGGTACAGCGTGCCTACCCCACCCCTACCTAAAATTTCTCCAGTCCAGGGACTGTACTGCCCTTCCCTGTCTTCCCTTCCCTATATAATCCAGACATTTGGTTACCTGACCCTTTCCAACTACCTTGTGCCCTCTGGCCTCTCCGACTGGCTCTGGCCTCTCCCTGTCCCTTGCTCCTCACATGGCTCAGTCTGGTCATGTCCACTGTGGACTCTCCCAGATGTCCCTGCCTCTGGCTATGCTTTCCCTTTTTTTCTTGTTTGTTTGTTTTGTTTTTTGTTTTTTTGAGACAGGGTTTCTGTGGCTTTGGAGGCTGTCCTGGAACTAGTTCTTGTAGACCAGGTTGGTCTTGAACTCACAGAGATCTGCCTGCCTCTGCTGGGATTAAAGGCGTGCGCCACAACACTCAGCTTATGCTCTCCCTTTTATCTACAATAAACTTTCTCCTCCACCATACCTAGGAGCAGTCATGTCCTTTCTTTTTTCTTTCTTTCTTTCTTTTTTTTCATTCAGTCACCAGGCCTGATGAACTGAGTGTGATCTCTGGAACCCACATGATAGAGAGAAAAATCAATCAGCAAACTTCTGTGGCCTCCATATGCTTTGGTTGCATGAGTACTCCCATCTCCCAATAAGCAAACAAACGGATATAAAAATTATTTTAAAGTTAGGATGAGCTGGTCCCTAGAGACATATGAGGACAAAATTAGGGTGTCCTCACTTTTCCTTATAGCCTCAAAATACACTTGGGGTTGGGAATCTATTTGTGCATCTGTTCATGCAGGTGTGTGTACATGAGTGTGGAGCCAGAGGTTTATGCTGGGTGTCCTCCTTGGTCACTTTCTCACTGAACCTAGAACTCATCAGTTGGCCAGAATAATGGCTGACCAGGAAGCCTCAACCATGCTGGGTCTTGCTCTTTGTATAGGAGCTGAGAGAAGAAACGTGGTCCTCAAGTTTGCTCAGCAGGTACCCTCATGAACTCAGCTGGAACTACAGGTTTGCCTCCAGCCCACGGGTATAGTCTATTTCAGAAATGCCTTGGCAGCTTCCTTTTGTTTTGACTAGCTTGCTATCAGATTTCCCACTGATGGAGCCGAAATGAAATGGAGCATCACAGATGTTCAAGTAGAAGGTGACTTTCCTGCCAGACAGGAAAGTCACTAGCTCAGCCTCCACCATCTCCTGTGACAAGTTGTTCACTGCATACAGGCAGCCCACTCACTCCTCAGCAGCTTCGACTGAACCCAACCTGTCTCATGAGGGCTCCAGTCCCATCGACACAGGCCAAACAAATACATGCGGCTGTTTGTCAATGTGGGCACCACACCCTGAGAACCAGCCGCTGCGGTTACAGTCTGCCCTGTCTGTGTGTTCATCAGAGTTACCTGCATCGGCGCTGGCCCATTGGATGGTCTGTGATGATGGGACCAGCCATCTCTGATCTAACATACAGTTAATGACCAGCAGAAATGGAGCCAGTGAGATGAGAACCTGCAGACTTAATATAATTTGGGCAGTTAAATATGTCTACAGACTACCAAACTGAATACGGCAGTTCTAAATATATTAGCATTTAAAGGTTTGTCTGTCTGGTGTGTCTGGATCTTCTCTGTTCCAAGTTTAAATTCTTGGAGTTTTATAGGTTTAGCTGCTGGTTTGAGTAGAACCTGAGTTTTCACCAGGCTATTGCTTCAGATAGGAATACTACCAGATTTTTGTTGATCCTGTTGGCTTTTTTTTCCTGAAAACATAAAACTGTTTTAATAATAAAATTTTAAAATGATTTCTAAAAAATAACTTTTAAAAACCACAGAAAGAACAAAAAGAGAGGGATAGAGTAGTCTTTGGGTTGGGGCTTCCTTTGTGTAGACCTGGTGACATCATATTTGACTCAGCACCTTGAAGACAGGGATCAATACCATGCCTAGGACAACACAGAAAAAAGCAAGGCTGAGAGACAGGCTTCTCACAGATGCTCTGCTAGCACAGTGTGGAGCTGGGGCTCAGCTACAAGCCTGTTCTTGTCGACAACTGTTTAAACCATACGCATGTGTCCGCTGTCTGCGATGAGTCTTGACTTTCTCCTACCTCAAGTGCAAACTCTACCCCATGCAAAGTAGTGGGTTAAAAGCATTTTCTCCCCAGCCTTCCCCCCACCCCACCCCAGCCTTGGTGCCATTTCTGGTATTACTTTTCCAGACTCCTGAGACTTCCAGAAGCTCCTTCTCAGCCATTACTTTAATTCACTGCTCAATGTCCCCAGGGACTGAAGGCAGACCCAAGTCCCAAAGACAGTGTTCACTGCTGCCTAGTTCAAGGCCAAGCAGGGGAGGCCCTAGGGCCTCCCAGGTGTTTACTCTGTTGAAGCCAAAGGCACTGGGGTAAAAGTATTAAATCAGAAATGACACAGAAGAGAGAAAGAAGATGCCTTAGGGCAAGCTGTCTAATTAGGCTGGCTAACCAGCAAGCTCTAGTTTCAGCAAGAGGCCCTGCTCTGTAAATACCGTTGAGGGTGATTAAGGGAGGCACCAGGCAGCAGTCTCTGGCCTCCATGTGCTTCCTGCCGCCCCCACGCCTTTCCTCTCAGGGTCATGGCCTGGTTCAGTCTGGACCCTTCTAGATGCTCTCTGCCTGTGCTCTCCCTCACGAATACAATAAACCTCCTCCTCAACCCATACCTAGGAGCCGTCATTTCCTCTTTTTTTTGTTTTTTGTTTTCATTCAAGTGACTTGTGTCTTCTCTGTAGACAGAGAGACTAAGGCTCAGACGAGTCTGTGCTGTGCATTTATGGCAATGAAGCTTAGCTTCTAGCTGAGAGCAGACTCACTGGAAGCCTGTGTCTCAGAAGGGCGGTCCTCTGAAGGGCCCCACCTCAGCTTTTTTGTTGTCTTGTTCCTTTCTGTCCTTCCCCTCGATTTCTGCCTTCCTGATCCCTGTGACCTCACCTCGGAGCCAGCGCAGAAGGAAGTAGTCATCAGCTTTGGGCAGGCTGGGCAGCACATCCTGGAGGTTCTCCCGGAACTAGGAGGAACAGGATGGACATGACAGTCACAGTGTTACTGGGCCCTGACAGCTGAAACCAGGTAGGTGTGGCCCCCTGTCCTCAGCTGGCCAATCAAGAGACAAGCAACAGTAAAAAGCTGACAAAAGGGAGTTACTCGATGTGGCCACATTGGAAAGAGAAACAGATAAAGAGGCCCAGTGGTCCCCTACACACAAGTGGTTCTGGAATGAGGCTTAAGTTTAAACAAAGTACAAGAGGCATGCATAACTGAGCAGTCCTAACAAGGGGTGGCTCTATCCACCACCCACCTGTCATGTTGGGACTATAGTCTGTCTGAGGAGCTGTTAGAACTGTGTGAACCTTTTCTTGGGAGACAAGTTCCTCTTCTGGCTAGTGCCAGAGCCTTCCCCGAATAAATACCAGAACTCTAGCCTTTTCTCCCTCAATTCTGGGTGGTTCTGATGAAGGCTAGCCTGACGGTTCTAGAGACATTAACCCAGAAATTGCATCCAGATGGTCTGGAACAGAAAAGAGTTCCTTTCTCTTATCTTCAATTTCCTCCTTTGTGAAATGAAGGTAATGTCAAATTTGTCCAATCAAAGGCTTGAATATGTTTAAAATAAACATGTAAACCAGGTTTGGTGGTGCATATCTGTCACCCCAGCTCTCAGGAAGCTGAGGCAAGAGGATCAGGGGTTTGAGACAAGTCTGGGCTACATATGGAGTACATGTCTAAAAAAAGAAAACCTACGGGACTGAAGAGATGGCTCAGCAGTTAAAGACTGGATATTCTTCCAGAGGATCCAGGTTTGATTCCTAGCGCTCACACGGCACCAAGCATGCATGTGATGCACATATATACATACATGTAAAACACCCATAAAACACACACACACACACACACACACACACACACACACACACACAGCCTTCTATAAAGCTGGACCTAGTGTCCAAGAAGCAGAGGTAGTTAGATCTTGTGAGTTTGAAGCCAGTCAAGGCTAGGTATCTCAAATCTCTGAAAAGTAGCACTAATAATTGTTTAGTTTTTGAGCCAGGGTCTTACTATGTATGTAGACCAGGCTGACCTGTCTCTGCCTCCCAAGTGTTGGGATTAAAGGTATATGCCACCATGCCTGGCCAATAGTAATAATCCAAAAAAAAATGAGAATAATTCCACTTTGCTTACATCATTAGAAAGGAATATGTGAAGACAAACGACCAAACCTGAAGGTAGAAAGTCCCACACGTTAACAAGAAGGCCATGAGGCCTTGGGACTGATAACCCACAATGCTGTGTACAAACGTTCACAGCCTGACTCCTAATAGCTATTCTGTAAATAAGTGGTGCTCTATAATTTCCTAAAGTCAGCCCCAGGGGCAGCTACCGACCCTCACCAACAGTTTACTTGTGACTAAGCAAACTTCCAGTCAGCTGCTGAGACAGGCCAACCTCGGTCAAGTCATACCTTCTTTGGGAGTACGCTGTTGTCACAGTGTGGCTGTGCATTTAACAGACTCTCCTCTTTGGCCTTTTTCTTTTTGGTAAATCCATAGCCTTCATGTACCTCACCTGTTGCTGTCATTCAGATAGTCTGGTGCTAACAAGGGTTAAAGCATGAATCCCAGCAGGCAATGGGAGGGTTCACATCCGAAGATAGCTGCAGCCCCAGGGACCAGAGGAAGTCTTGTTGGGGTTGGAGGGTGTGAGGGGGAAGAGTGCCCCTTACGAAACAATAATGCTGCACCCCTCATCCCGTCTAAGCAACTGTTCGCTCAGCCTGGAGAAAAGCCACTGTACAGTGTCACATGAAGACCGTGTGTCTGGAAGTGTGACCACAGTGTCACATGAAGACCGTGTGTCTGGAAGTGTGACACAGTGTCACATGAAGACCGTGTGTCTGGAAGTGTGACACAGTGTCACATGAAGACCGTGTGTCTGGAAGTGTGACCACAGTGTCACCTGAAGACCGTGTGTCTGGAAGTGTGACACAGTGTCGCATGAAGATTGTGTGTCTGTAAGTGTGACCACAGTGTCACGTGAAGACCTTGTGTCTGTAAGTGTGACCAGTGTCACATGAAGACCGTGTGTCTGGAAGTGTGACCAGTGTCACATGAAGACCGTGTGTCTGGAAGTGTGACCACAGTGTCACATGAAGACCGTGTGTCTGGAAGTGTGACACAGTGTCACATGAAGACCGTGTGTCTGGAAGTGTGACCACAGTGTCACATGAAGACCGTGTGTCTGGAAGTGTGACACAGTGTCACATGAAGACCGTGTGTCTGGAAGTGTGACCACAGTGTCACATGAAGACCGTGTGTCTGGAAGTGTGACACAGTGTCACATGAAGACCGTGTGTCTGGAAGTGTGGCACAGTGTCACATGAAGACCGTGTGTCTGGAAGTGTGGCACAGTGGTCCACGCTAAGCTCAGGAAGACTCTAGAAGGAAATGATGCTATGCGTAGTCGTAAAGAGCTCTGGTCTACCCACAGCCTTTCCCTTCTCCTCCTTTCTTTTCTTATAGTTTTTAAAATAGCAAGCATTTGTTATTTTTAAATGATGGTGAGCACAGGATGGCTCACAGGGCTCTCTCACAATCCACTCCCAGAGGCCAGATGTCTAGTTCCAAAAGAACCCTGTGCCTGGTGCTTCCTGAGGCCATCAGTACTGGGAGGCTGGCCAGACAATGCCACTGCTCTGCTAAGGGCCTCTCTCTCACCTGGAGAGCCTTGGCTGAATTCCCAGCTCCCCTCCTTCACCCAGGACTGTCATTTCTCCCTGTAAAGTCCTTCCCCATGGGAGACATTTCAAACAAGCCATTCATGTCTTGTTCTTTGAGGGAGTGTTGCTAGGTTCAGCTGGTCTTGAACTTGGCAATCTTCAAGCTTTTGCCTCTCAATGCTAGGATTCCAGACTCAAAGCCTCCAGTGCCTGGCCTTCTGCCACAAATCTCAAGCTTCCCTTCCAAACAAGGCTGAGTGTGAGCGTGGGTTGGACTCCTGAGGCCTGGGCCTTCCCTTCCCAGTAGCCCTTCCCTTCTCCAGGTACAGCCTGCAGGATTGCTCTCAAAATAAGACCCCCTAGCCTTCTATTTTTCTGTGATAATTAAAAGTAAACAAACACATCTGATAAGAACAGTGGAAACCCAGGCAACAGAAACCAAAGCAAACCGAACTGTCGCAATCTGGGCAGAGCTCTCTGGTCTGCCTGGCAGTATAGCCACAGGCCGGGAGCAGAGGCCAGGGCTGGGTGGTGGGGCACGCTGTGCTGGAAGGCTGAATTTACACACACACACACACACACACACACACACACACACACACACACACACACACACACACACACACACCATGAAGTAACCCAGAGGGAGGGAGAGGAGGGGTGCAGCGTGCAGCGGCCTTGGAGCAGTGCTCGGGAGGCACTGGGCTTCTCCATTCAGTCCCCACACAGTGAGTGCTACAGCCAATGTGAGTTCAGCTCCTGCCCTTTTCCGCCCGCCTCACCCCTTACCCTGGCCAGTGTCTCCTGTTGCTGTGGGCTCAGGTCCCCAACTTGTCCGCTCATGGTGCTCTCCTCCGGCCTCAGCTGCCACCACCCTGGCCCAGTTATGCCTAGCAGGTCTGATGCTGGTCCCGCCCCAAGGGAGTTTCTGCCCCGCCCTACCCAGTGCTCCCTGGGTTTTCTTTTTGTTTTGTTTTGTCTGCCCAGGTCATCAGGCCTACCCTATGGGGCAGAGGGGTGACTTGACCTCAAGAGGTAGGTGTCCTGAGAGTCTGAGGTGGCAAATGGCATTCATCTCCAGGTCTTCACTAGATCAGGGCTCTGCCACTCAGGTAGCGTGGGATGTAGGTGTTGGGGGTGTTAGCCTTGTGTTCACCTAAGGACACATGCATAGGAGCAGGCTCTTCAGAAGTGAGGATGTCACTACCCCAGAGTCCTTTTGCCTAAGGAAGTCCCCTTTCCCTGACCTTGAACACAGGCTGGGCTCCATGTGTGTTTACTGGCCAGGAGGAGAGCCCTCATGTGCCAAATGGCTCAGCCCTCTAGACGTTGAGAAGGGTTAGGTAAGATGTGCCTCCCGAGTTAGCAGAATGTTTGGTATGTCACACTCACTGTTAAGGACACGGTTTCAAAACTGTTATGAAGGCTCTCAGTAGAGCCAGGAGCTACAGGATGGCCCAGGTGGTGAATCCCTGAGAGGTACCACAGCCAGAGTGACACATGACAGCCAAGGAGTGGGTGTGGGGGGGGGTGATTTCCACTGAGTAAGCTGATCTCGGAGAGTAGGGTGAGGAAACACGGGCTGCCTTGGCATGGATTTTCTGGACAGCAGGTGGCCAGGGAGGGGGGAGGAGGCAGTGGAAACAGGCCACTGAGACCTTTCCCCTCTGTCCTCTCGTGGGTCAAATCAAGTTCCAGATATAAGGTGACCAAGCATGGGCTCATGTGAGACGGTCGCCCATTGCAGATGCGATTGGTCACCAGCAAGTGTGGGCTGTGCTAAGTAGAAGCAGCAAACTGGATTTCAATGACTTAGTACCAGAAACAGCTAATACTTTATTGTTTTTGCTACTGATTATATGTTGATATGATAGTTTCAGATATACTGAAATATGTAAAATACATAAAAAAAAGAAGACAGGTTTTTATGCAGCCCAAGATGGTTTTAAACATTCTACATAATCAAAAGGAATCTTGAATTCTTGGTCTTCCTGCTGTCACCTCCCCAGTGCTGGGAGGACAGGCAGGTGCTACCATGTCTGGTGTGCTGGCTAATTTTATGTCAACTTGACATATGCTAGAGTCATCATAAAGGAGGGAGCGTCAACTGAGAAATGCCTCCATCAGACTGGGCTGTAGGCAAACCTATAGGGCGTTTCTTAAGTAGTGATCAGTGGGGAAGGGCCCAGACAATTGTGGATGGTGCCATTCCTGGGCTGGTGGTCCTGGGTTCTATAAGAAAGCTGGCCGAGCAAGCCATGGGAAGTAAGACAGTAAGCAGCGCTCCTCCATGGCCTCTGCATCAGCTCCTGCCTCCAGGTTCCTGCTCTGTGTGAGTTCCTGTCCTGACTTCCTTCGGTGATGAACAGTGATGGGGAAGTGTGAGTCAAACAAACCCTTTCCTCCCCAACTTTCTTTGGTCATGGTGTTTCATTGAAGTCATGGTCTCACTAACTAGAACACCTGGTCTATGTGGTTTTGGAGATGGAACACAGGACAAGCACTCTACAAACTGAGCTATTCCTTGGGTGAAAAGACTCAGAGTGGACCAACACAAAATGCATTGATTTCATTTTTTTCATAGCTTTTATTTTATTTTATTTTTTTGCCACAGAGTGTCTGTCAGTAACCTGGAACTCACTCTGTAGACCAGGCTTCCCATGAGCTCACAGAGGTCCTTCTGCTTCTGCCTCATGAGTGCTGACCTGTTTTCAGTTTGTAATTGATAGATTTTTATTCTTTAGGACAGTTTTAAGACTTCCCATGGAAAATCAAAAAGCAGAGAGTCCATATGTCCCCTGCCATTCCCACCACTCTTGGGACCCTGGTGGAACACTGCTGTTCCTCAGTCTGACTTCCACAGTGAGCAGTCAGCAAATGAGAAGAACTGTGTGATGCCACGGCTGAGCTTTCAGGGGGAATCCTCTCACTACCCTACCCTCGATGCGCTGCCTGCTCTTTTTAGGTTTTGGAAACGCAGGTACTTGGGCCTGGTGAGGTGGATGGCTCAGTGGTTAAGAGCACTTGCTGTTCTCACAGAAAGTCCCGATTTGGTTCCTAGCATCCACATCAGGAGCTCACAACTGCTGTGACTCCAGTCCCAGGGGAGTTGACGTCCTCTTCTGCCCTTCTGGGACGCCTGCGTTCACATGGTGCACAGACGTACTCAGTTGCACAAGCATATACAGTAAATGAATAAATATGCATTTTTAAAACGCAGCTTCCAATCAGTGTGTGGTGGCACACACACTGTAATTCCAGTATTATTGGGAGGCTTAAGTAGGGGGACTGAGAATTCCTGGGCTGTGTAATAAGGTATCATTTTCAAAAAATAAAATAATGATTGTACCTATCAAAATTGTAAATTATATTTGTAGCTTGCATTTTGGGTCTGAGCAATATTTTGTTTGACTAGAATTTGCCCTATGAGGATTTTAAATTGAAAGAAAGATCCTTTAACAATCATCAAGCTGGCTTGGAGAAATGTTAGGAGCACCTGCTGCTCTTGCAGAGGACCTGGGTTTGGTTTCCAGCCTGCACATGGCAGTTACTAACCTGGGTTTGGTGTCCAGCCTGCACATGGAAGCTACTAACCCTCTGTAACTCTCGTTCCAGAGGACCCAATGCCCTTGTCTGGCTTCTACAGACACTGAACACATGTGTGCACATACATACATGCAGGCAAAAATTAAATAAACCAGGGTCTAGAGAAATGGCCCAGCAGTTAGGAGCATGGTTTCTCTTCCAGAGGTCCTGGGTTCAATTCCCAGCGCCCACCTAGTGGTTCACAACCACCTGTAACTCTAGTCCCACGGGAATCTGACACCATCTTCTGGCTTCTGCAGGCACCAGGCACACATGTGGTGCACATGCACATACACAAAAACACTTATACACACACATACAAAATAATCAATCAATCAATCAATCAATCTCAGAGCCTTGTGCATGTTAGGCAGTGGCTTTGCCACTGAGCTACACCCTCAGTCCAAGAATCTGTTACATAGGAAAACATTGCACAGGGCGCACGCCTTTAATCCCAGCACTTGGAAGGCAGAGGCAGGTGGATCTCTGTGAGTTCGAGGCCAGCCTGGTCTACAGAGAGAGTTCCAGGACAGCCTCCCAAACAATACAGAGAAACCTTGTCTCGAAAAACCAAACCAAAAAATAAAACAAACAAACAAAACAAAACCAAAAAAAAAAACCAAAACCAAAAACAAACGCAAGTTTATGATAAAAATAAGGCACAAACGGAAAGGGCATCCCGAGAACCGATTCTCAGAGGAACAAATGAGCAGGCACTTAAGGCAGGTGGCTCCCTGCCTACTCCCAGGTCTTGATATTCACAGATGTTCAAGCAGTGAGGTGCCTTACACCTCTGAAAAAATCAGAAAGCGAAAAAAGCAACACACACACTGCATCAAAATTGATGATAGTGCTAGGTAGGAGTGGATGATCATACACACACACATATTTATTTGATACATATGGTATTTATAATCTAATTTTAACTTTATGCAAATGGTTGTTTTGCACCCCTGCATGCAGTGCCTAGAAGGGGGTGTCAGATTTGCTGGAAATGGAGTTATAGACAGTTGTGAGCCACCATGTGGGTGCTGATTCTCAAACCCGGGTCCTCTGGAAGAGCAAGCAGTGCTCTTAACCACCTCTCCAACCCTGAGACTTTCATATATTACTGGCGGAGCGGCAGTTGTTTGTCTAGAAATTACTTGACAGCACCCAAACATTTTACCACTTTGCTCAGTGATAATCCTGATGGAAAACAGTTTGGACTTACAGTTATATTGAATATATATGGTTCTGGAGAGACAGCTCAGCAGGTAAAGATGCTTTCCATCAAGTTGATGACTGAGTTCCATCCCTGGGACTCACATAGTAGAAGAAGAGTGCTCACTCTAGAGATTTCTCCTCTGACATCCTCACGTCGTAGGACACACACACACACACACACACACACACTCAGAATGTTTCCAGCTTCCCAGTTTTTATTAATGCAATTTTTTGCTGTTGTTTTGTTATGGTTTGTGGGGGTTGTTTTTAGGTTTTTGAGTCAAGGACTTGGTACACAGCCAAGGCAAGGATGGCTTCATCCTCTCCATTGTTCTTCAGCCTTCCCTGTGTGAGTGTGTGCACGTGCCTGTGTGCATCTGGAGGTCAAGGTTAGTTACCTGGTGTGTTCATCAACCACTACCCACTTTTACTATTTTTAAGACAAGTTCTCACACTGAATCTGGCCCTCACTGATTGTCTAGACCATCTGGCCGATGAGCAGCCCCAACCACCATCTTCTTTCTACTCCTTGGGGCTGGGATTACACATGTGCACTGCCCACACCCAGCTTTTTATGTGAGTGCTGGAGAACCAAACCCAAGTCCCCATGGTTGAACCAAACCCAAGTCCCCATGGTTGCACGCAGCAAGACTATAACATTGAGCTGTTTCTCCAGGCCCTACTGCGTTTTCTAGATCAAGCACCGTCACCAGTGTGAGACAGGAGGTTGGGGCTGGGAAGAATTCTCAACTGGTAATGACTCCAGCTTCACCCATCGGGATTTCCTAGCCCCCAGAAACTGTCAGTAAACATGGCCTTATCCCACACCCCTTTGATGTTTTGAGACAGGGTTTCTCTGTGTAGCCCTGACTGTCCTGGAGACCAGGCTGGTCTCAAAGACACAAAGATCCATCTGCCTCTGCCTCCCGAGAGCTTGGATTAAAGGCATGCACCACCAACACTCCGCTTTTTTTTTTCTTTTCTGTTTTTGGCCTAACAGGTCATTTCTTCCCCAGTGACCATGGCAAACCCTTGATCACCCTGACTGGAGCTCCAGTCTGTGGAGCCACAACCGCCTCATTGGATGTAGACACTGGAAATTCAAAGTGCTTTAAAAGAATTTCCCCACCTCCAGTGGCCT